TTTAATGTATAATGGTCATAAAAGTAAATTATTTTATAGCAAAACATAGTTATAAAAATAATTTTAACTATTTTTAATATTCATTTAAACGTCTGTTATGGTCGTGACAGGATTTTGTGTTTTTTCACTAAAGATGCTCTTTTAAAAAAAAACTACCAAAGATATTGCGTTACCATGGACATTTTATGAAACTTCAAATGTTAATGAAATCAAAAAAATAATAAAAGTTTTGAAAAAAGGGGAAAAAAATTTGCAAAGTGTGTTTCCTGAAAACGTACGTTTTTAAATTTTCACTCAAGTACTATTCTACAGTAGTCTTCATAATATTTACGTTTACGAAAAGACAATGTTGAGCTTATTTACAATACATTTTCTTACAAAACTAAATCCATCCAGACAACAATGAACAATGAATATCATCCGATCTGAAATGGAGTTTAGGAAGCAGTGCTGCCAGCTTATGAGATTTTTTTGTCCCTAACAATTGGATTGTATAAAAAAACTCTCTGTTAAAGTGATTCTTTACTGTTACAGATAAGGTAGGGTCTAAGTTGACTTTACCACCTTACCTGGAGCAGTCCCGTCCCAACAGCAAAGTGTCAAGCGCAGGACCGGGCGGTAGACCGAGTGTTGCGAGTTCCGAGCGTGGTAAGAGCGCCATCTGTGTTGACGAGCTTATCAAAAACACTGCCAGCAGCAAGAAAGCGGAAAAAATGCTACTGGGTGAACTCAACGTGGATAAAGAATACTTGGAGGAACTCCTTAAACACCCAGGTACAGAACTTATTTTTTTTAGAATTAAATTTTTCCTGAAAATGTACTGTAATTTAAGCATAAGTTTTATGAGAAAAGAAAATACTTCTTGAGCTTACCCTTTCATTGTGAGCCCTGACTACATTCCACCGTCGAATGTTACAACTCATTTTGTGTTTAAAGTGTTTCAAATGAGATTTTGTATAGTACGCGTTTTGCCAGTGTCAATGTTCTGACGTCCCACGTCAACTGTTTGCTACACACATCTTCTTCCTACCTGTAAATGTGCAATTTCATAGGTTTTACAGCGTCACTCCTGTCAACATCTACATCATTTGGCATCCTTTTTAGTTTTCACTATTAATGCTCTTTATGTGGGTTTTCCGTTGTCTCGTGTGCCCTAATTTTTTTTTCATGGAGTAATTAAATTCCCTGTCAGTGCCTGATGAGGCCCTGGGGGAGAACTACTTGACCACCTTGAGCCTCGGCGGAGAGGAATTTACCACCCTGGCTACTTTTGGATCTGCCTGAGTCTTCAACCACTTGGTTACCTCTTGTAGCTGTGCGTCGTCATCAAAACGCTGCATAACCAGCCACTTCTTCATTGCTGGGAATAATTGAAAGTCACTCAGTGCCAGGTCAGGACTGTACGGGGGATGGGGAAACAACTCGCACCTAAAAGATTAAAGAACTTCGCAAGTGTCATTTGCCGTGTGGGGCCGGGCGTTGTCGTGAATCAACAGGATCTTTGAGCTTAACTTTCTCCTGCGCTTGTTTTGTATCGCTCTTCTGAAGTTTTGCAATACATTTGACAGTTTATTGTAGTGCCTCTTTCCAGGAAGTCCACAAAAATTACATCTACCCTATCCCAAACACAGTCGCCATCACCTTCCTAGCCGACGTCGTTTGTATGCATTTCTTGGGTTGGGGGGGATTTGTGTGCCCCCACTGCAATGACTGTAATTTCGTCTCGCAGTTCACATGTTTGACCCATGTTTCGTCACCAGTAACAATGCAATCGAGTAGAGAGTGACCATCTTTAACGTAAGCGTCCAGAAACGGTAGTGCTGCAGTCATACACTGATTTTTGTGACTTTCTTCGACTTTTTCAACAAGTTCAGGAGTCACAATGCTGGGTCTTCCACTTCGCTCTTCGTCGTGAACGTTTGTTAAGCCATTTTTAGATTTTATGACCCACTGATGCACTCCACCTTCAGTAATCAGGGTTTCCCCATAAACTTCACAAAGTTGCCCATAGATTTCTATCGGTTTGCAGTTTTTTGCAGCCAAAATCTTATAACTACACTTCACAGTTCGCGGCATTTTCAATTAACACAAACATTTTAAACTGTACATCAGAAACCTCTCACTAGCACGGTTAGATGCCAACTGAGCTGCAAAACGAACCGACACCAAGATGGCCGCACTATCCTCACCCTTTTGCGGATACAGACAAAAACGTAATCTACTTTCTGGATAGCCCTCGTATTATTGTTGATGATCTGTTAACTGTTTTTTTTTTGTTCATTGCAGCTTGTTCCTCTCAAACGCCGAATTGTTCTTGAACCTTTCCTCCACGGATTTTCTTGTTGTTAGGTAGAGCTGCGAGCCGCTCCTTGTCCCTGCACATGGGATCACGCTTCCCAGTTCGTTTGCCTGGGTGCAGGTGCGAGGGTGTGGTTCAATTTTGATGTTTTAAATACAAGAAAATATCAATAGTGATTATAAAATATTGTGGGTGACATTGTCGATTTCTTTTTATACTTTTATTGTTTGCAATCTTAAAAAAGGACAAAAGTAAAATTATGTTTTACATTTTTTTTTCAAATATAAAATTACCTATCAGCTCTCCGTTATAGTTGTACTGCACATGTCATTGAGAAAAGAGTATCTAATCACACTAATTACTTTCATGTTGCCAGATATAAAATGTTTACACAAAGAGATGGCCAACAACCCAATACAGAAGTACGCTGAGGAGGGAGTAGCGTTCATCAAAAACCGCCAAGAGTTTTGGCGGCAACAACGATGCGACAACTCTGGTGGAGCAACCAAGCGAAAACGTCCTTCAAAGAAACAACCGAGCACAAACAAACAATCTTAATTCTGATGTAAACCTTGTATCGTCCATTAGTTCATAGCTAACATAGTAAGTAGCATCAATGATGATTGAATATCATTAAAATAGGAAAAAGTAGTAAGTTAAGTACTGTTCTGTGGTGAAACCATTTTGGTCAAAATTCGGTTTAAGTTTAAATAATAAGTAGTTATAAAACATGTTTTGCTTGGTGTAATAATTGCTCAATTTTAATTAAAGATTATATTACACAAGTAGACTGATGTGTTTTTTTTTTAATCAACCTCTAAGAATAAATATACATCAACTATGAAGTGTGACAGTAATACAGCACAGCAAAAACAGAGTGTTTCTAAAACAGAGCACAACAAAATTTTAACATGTAAGGCCCCATCCTAGCTGGACGGCAAGAGCGACGCGACCATTGGCGCACACTGAGCGGCGCATCATGGAATGAGGCATCTGTTTTGGGTGCAGATCCGTCGCGTTGCTGGTGTAGCGCTACCAAATACAAACATGTTTGGATCTTGAAGCGCTTGTAGCGCGACCGACAGGAGCGGCACCGCTGTTGCTGCTCAGCTAGGACACTCCCATTCAGAATCAGAATACTTTATACTTGAACATAGAGTACGGAATAGGCGTCAAACATTACAGAGATTTATGTAATGTAATGTACTTAACATGTGTTTGTATCTGTCGCTGTTGTCGGTCGCGCCGCTCTTGCCGTCCAGCTAGGACGGGGCCTAAGTACCGGTATTTGATTCTCATTTCTGTGTATGAGAATAGAAGAAATATAAAGGTGTAATGGATGGTGGAGAAGGTGTAAGTAATTTTGCATAGCAAACTCACAAGGATAAGTGGGACAAAAGTATTTTTAATGTATCTAAATCTAATATTTACAACTTTCACCAAGTGTGTATATTTTTAATATCATCAAGGAACAATTATTTAGTGGTTTTAGATACTGAGTTAAAATATATATTTTCAGATATTAAAACCTTCTTAATGTTTGCTTGATTAACATAACAAAGAGTAATGTTATGTACAGAACGTTTGCAGGAGCTTCTAATGTTGTGGTAATATTGGCTGATCGCACAAAAGTTTCACTTTGATCCAAATGTTCTTAAGTCCAAAGAACAACAGTTCCCAAACACATGTTAAACTGAATCCTAAACACATACCTAAAATTCCCAAACTGTACGCTACAGTGTAGGTAGTAATGTTATAGCGAATGGTAGTGTAATATGAATTGCCCTTCAATTTCACCCCAAAAACAGCTTCTACTGCAGTACTGGAATCCCTGTAAGCCCCTGATTGGGATTCCACATCGTAAGTTATGGAATTGCAGTCAGGTAGACAATCACATTTGTATTTCGGTTGGCTGCACTCAGCAAGGCAAATTTTAACTGAATTATTTTGTCTCGGATAAGTGAACGGAACACACGGCAGTTTTCACTCCCGTTACACATTATATTTTTTCCTACAGTTACTATAAAGCATATGAATGATTAGTATTTCAAACACTGTACTATAAGTTTTTAGATTAGGCTAAATCCAAACATTGAATGCAACATCGGGACCACTGCACCAGCTGATTGTAGTCGTAGTATCATTATAGTAAGTGTTACCGACCTATTTCCAAGCGTACACGGATTACGTGCATAATAAAAGCACACTGTTTTGTGTTGTTTGGTTGCATTACTAGTGTGCGACAAAATGAAGTAAAAAGTCCAAAATAAGTAAAAGTATCAATTAGCAGCTTTCTGTACTATATGATTGCAAGAAAGCCCAATTCATCGGGGGACTGTAGGAAAATATAGTTATCGTTGCATTGTCTGAATATGCATAATTCTTTCTTCAAACATCTGGTAAGCCTTATACATTGCTGGTGAGACAAGCAAAGCCTGCACTATCTCAATACTGTTGCAGTCCCTAGCTTATCCGTTGACCAAAACGTTGGCTTACTCACCTTGCAGACCAGTACGTATATAGAGACAAGTAACACGACTGGGGCTTAGATAAAAAAAATAATACAGTAGTTGAATCGTTCCAGATTGCAGCCAATTTGCTATAGGCATATCACTGAGATTTATAAAACAATATAAATAAACTAAGAGCAAACTAAACAGAGAAAAAAGGTAAGTAAAGGTAAAAGGTAAGTTGATTCCAATTTGATTAAAATATATATTTCTCATGAAATATGACTTAATAGATACTGTATAGTCAATCAATTCACAACGACCTACTGTGCCTAGTGGAAAAATATACATAACATTTTCATTGAAAGAAATACCGTAAACATTATAAAAATGTATTTAATACAAATAAAGTGTTAATTACACAGATGAATTTTTAATTATATTATAAAAACATGATGACGAGTCTTCAGTTCACACATGCACATATTTACAAATATTACAAACAACAAAAACCTTATTCTTAATTGATAACTGTAACAAAATGATCGTCCTAATAATTTATAAATACTTAATAAATAACATTGATCAAAAAACAATTTATAAAACAACGTCTGGTAAAAATGCCATGCTGAACAGAAACAGTATATTGGTTTCATGATAAAATTGCCATGCATCGATGTAAATTACAAAGTGGTATAAGCGTCTGATAAAAAAATGAACACAATATATTACAAGTTTGTACAAGGGGCAGAAGGAACTAAGTCTAGTATTGAAGGTCAATCGTCATCGGGTCGTGAATACGTTGTCCCGAACTTAGACATGTACTTCTTGATGAAGTCTCTAGCTTTGTGTTTAACATTATCATTACATTCCAACTCGTCTACGCTGCGACAGTGTTTCAGCTCTTTGAGCATCACAAAATGTGTCAGCTGAAACAAAACAAAAACCATGTAGCGCTTGGCTGGACAGTCCAGTGTGTTCAGCAAACCATGAAAATAAAATTCAAGCACAACTACTAGTTTTCCATCAACACTTCCTGTTACAAATATAACTAACTCATGACTATCATGAACCTTTTCAGACTTCAATGCAAAATAACCCGGTTCAATACCCAGCATCTGCATAGAAGAAGTCCTGGGAGAAAGCTGATCTAGTAGTAGAATGAAAGACTTTGGTCCCCGAGGTCCTGTGTTCAAATCCCACCAATCACCAATGAATTTTATCTAAGTGATAATGCTGTGATTCACTAGTCCTAGCCTGAACGTAAAATAGTTGCAGGCTATAATCTAGCATCCTAGGATTGGCGTTCCTGAGATTGGTCGTAAAAAAGGCCAATAAAGTAGAAAAGAATAATTGTGTACAACTAAACTGCAGTAGACACTAAAACTTTAGACCCTTCACTCGGACTAACCTTCCTTGCCAGGTGTTTAAAGTCCTCCGTGTTGGATATTTTACCCATCTTGCAGTCAGGCTTCCTGTATGCATTGAGATAATGCACAATCACTCCGGCCATATTCAGTCTGAATGCATCTTTGATCTTCCTCCCCGGCTCACTGGAAGTGTCCGCTTCACACTTACTAGTTCCACTTCGGTTTTTAGATTTGTTCTTTTGCTTTTGACGTAGTTTTTCTTTGGCTTTTTGACGGCGTAACTTTTCCTTAAGTTCACGGATTTTCTTCTTATCAATTTTGTCGGGGATTTCATCAGCAGTTCTTGGCTGTGAACAGAAAAATCTAAATGTGATATTTTGTAAAGATTGACTCTATTTTATTGCAATTGCTAGCAGTCAACATTACTTTTTGGAGGGAAAAGAGGGCCATAGCGATATTGAAAGGAGTAAAGCTACTAGGCTAGCCTATATATCTTTTTTTTTACCTGTAATGAGAAAAAAAAAACTTTTACCCAAGAAAACCCCATTCCCACGGTCTGATTATGCTGGTTCTTGAACTTTCTGGAATATCTTTTTTCAATTTTTAAACCACAAAAGAAAAAAATACCAAAGTTCAAACGTGCTTACTGGTGATGGCACACACATCTGCCCAATTGCCGACCGCCTGACCCCTTTGAGGGACGGTCCACAAGGAGTCAGTCAAAATTTTTAAATAACAGCATAGGTTGATTATGGTACGGTGTCAAATTAAAGGTCTCCTTAGTAGAATACAATGCCACAAATCCAACTCAAATGGACAACCAAGTCAAAAATGGCAGCCGATCAAATATTTCTTTAATCTGCCCTTTTGAATCTTTGAACGGCTGCCATTTTTTACCCAGCTGATATTTTGAGCTCAAATTTGTGGCATTGGATTCTACTAATAAAGACCTTTAATGTGATGTGCATATAAACCTATGCTTACGTTTATGATTGTTATGCGGCTTCTAGCGGGCGGTGGGCGCCTCACAGTATAATAAGCATTGCAAATTCATGGAATATTTGAACAGCTGTCATTTTTTACTCTATTGTTTGTTTTAGTGGGTTTGTGGCATTGTATTTTACTAACGGAGATCTTTAATTTGATATCAAGCTCGACCTATGCTGCTATTTAAGAATTTTGCCAGACTCCTTGTGGACCGTCCTCCAAAGGGGTTATCCGGTCGGTAATAGGGTAGATGTGTGCGTTACTATCACCAGTAAGCAGGTGTGAACTTTAGTATTTTTTTATTGTGGTTTAAAAATTAAAATACCCCGCCGCAGCAAACCTGCAGACTAAGCGAATTTCAATTTGTATGATTAAATTTTTACTAAAATACTTCCATAAAAAAGACATATTTATTCCCAATTTAAATAACATTAGATTTAACAAGTGCTTAGGTTTGCTGCTACAGGGAAGGTAAAAAGTGTTTTTTGACCATATGTCAATAGTATAGGATAAAATAAATAAATTTGCCAAATTTTATCAATATATATCCATAAACAAGTAAACTCCAACAGTTTTCATCTTCTCCATAAGAATAACATGGGAATTTTAAATTACACTTTTTTTTATTTTCTCCGTGACCGTTAGGCATACCACAGCGCTTCAATATACTAAATTATTTCTTTTTTTAAGCTCTACAAAATGATTGAGAAAGAAATTGCAAATTTTTTTGTTTTTAGGGTAAAAAATGGGAAAACCCATTTTTACCCCATAAAACCCCCCATAAACCCCTGTTCCCATGGTCCGATTATGCTGGTTCGCGAACTCGTTCGAATAAACGTAGGTTTAGGCCTACACGTTTGTACCAAATTTCATCAAAATCGGATAATTTTTGCTCGAGTTATCACGCTAACGGACACATACTATATATAAATTTGAACGGATGGTGTTTTTGGTCTCTGGGGACCTCAAAACGAAAAAGTAAATCGGTCCCAGGTCTAGGTCTTACCATGAGAGTAATAGCTTATTCCCTATATGGGAAATTCGCTAAAAGAGGTTCCACACTTAATTTTCACCTTGTATATATACAGTGTAAACACACATGAATTTGAGTGGATGGTGTTTTTGGCCTTTGGGGACATCAAAATGAAAAAGTACATTTCCAAGCGATTTTACTGAAATGTGTTTTTTATGGCCTTCAATAAATAATAAGCCTTTACTTTTCAATTGTTGCCCATAGTGTAGTTGTGTATTTATTAGGACTGGATAGTCTCTTTTCAAATCAGGTAAGACCTTTCTCACAAAATAGCAACACAATTACAAGATCGACAAACATTTGAAACTTACACTGATGATTCTTTCTTGAACTAAAACATCTTTCCGCTTCTTCTTAGGATCCTCCTCGATGTCTTCTAGTAACTCCATGGTCTCAGGTTCATACGGAGAATCGGCTAACTCTTCACAGCCGAGGTCATCGTCGTTCATAACTTCAGTTTGTTCTACCTCCTCCTCCATCTAGAAAAATATTTAAAATGGTAAACTTTACTAGAAGAAATTTTACCTTTAAAGTTTAAAAAAAAAAAAATTTTGTGCCAGAGAAGACTCTATTCAAATGAGAAAAGCCATTTGGCTTTTCAGCATCCTCAGAATCTTTGCCTTGTGCTTATATTACATTCTCAATTCTTGGACTATACAAATGGTTATAAAATTCCTAATAGTGCATAAATGCTTAATATATTTGCCCTTTTAACACTTAAAGTCCTTAGCCAATTATTTCATATTTCTCTGTGGATGAATTGTAGAGCAAGGACTGCTGTACACTATCCAGGCTCAAAGTACCAATGGATGTATTCAGAGAAAAGGCTGATAATTAATTGGTAAGAGAACAAAAGAAAATAAGGTTAATTATTAATACATACCAGAATAAAATGGATAAAGGTAATGTGAAATAGTTCCAAGTACCAGAAAAAAGGACACGGTGAAATTATAAGAATATGTGAGAGATAAATAAAACTAACACACTTTTATAATGGTTACAAGAGAACAAACTGTTTATATTTACCTTTTAAAAACAACATATGTTCAAGCAAGACAAATTGAGAAATAATTTAATTTTAACATAAACACATGTTATTAGGAAGAGTTTTAATAAAAAAAAGAGTATAAAATAAAATATTTAAGAAAACTGAACACTCAGAAAATTTTTATTTCGGTTATCTATGCCTGTTTATGTCTTTTATAATGTATTTGTTTTGACACAATAATAATATTTAACTCAAGTAACCCCGCCACAGCAAACCTGCAGACTAAGTAAATTTCTATTTGCCTGAATTGATATAGGCCTACAATTAAATCTATTTAAATAAAATTAGGTTTAACGTGTAACTAGGTTTGCTGCTATAGGAAGGCTAATGAAGTATGTTTTTAGTCAAATAGATTTTAGAATAAAATAAATAAGTTTGCCAAGTTTGATCAAAATATATCCATTAACAAGCAAACTACAACATTTTACAATATTCCCCATAAGAATAACATGGGAATTTTAAATTTACAACGTTTTGAATTTTCTTTGTAACCAATAACTGCACAAAAACACTTCAATATGCTAAATTATTTGTCTTTTAAGCTCTTAAAAATTGTCCAGAGAGAAATTGGGAATTTTGTGTTTTGATGGTCAAAAATGATACACAATATATAAATAAATTTTAAGGAATAGATTTTTGGCCTATGAGGATATTAAAATGAAAAAGTAATTCGGTCCCGGGCTCAAGTCTTACTAAGAGTCGGTAATAGCTATTTCCCTATAGGGAAATTCGTTAATAAGCTAACTAACCTAAGCCTAAGTTTTAAAGTTTTAATGAACTTGGGCATCTGGTCAGCTATTTTTCTGTAGTTCATTACACTGTCTAGCTAGTATTAACAAGTAAAGATCACATTTTGACAAAAATGTCATAACCTTTTGATTCAAAATTTCATAATTACCATTTTGAACGGAATACACAATCCTTGATATTGCACACAACTGAGAATGTTTTTAATAGTTATCTTCCATCATTAGTATTATTTACCTTATCCTCGTCTTCCTTCTCATCAGCCGACGATGAATCTTCATCTTCGCTGTCCGACGAGTCGCTCTCCGACTCAGACTCTTGAACGACCGTCTGTTGCTGGTAGTCCCACAACGGCGGTTCCCACTGAGACACCCTTGTCTTGACATGATAGTAGTATGTGCGACCCTCCGCGTCCTTCGCACTCTTCCACTTAGGAGGCAATTTGACAGGAAGGTACAAAGGAACGGGAGAGGCTGCAGCAGTGGTGACCGGCACAACGGCCGTGGTGGGGAACTGCGCAGGGAGTGACGCCTGGAAAACAGGAACAGGATTAGGAGTAGGAGCTTGAGTAGGAAGAGGCGGTTGGGAGGTGAAAGGCGGGGGCTGGGAAAACTGCGGTTGAGGTACATTCTGGAATTGCTGAGGAGCACTAACCTCGTGTACAGGATACGTGACTGGTTGGGACGGAGGCGGTTGGTTGGGTAATGGAGGTTGGAAAGGAATATTCATTGGGTGAGGTTGATTCGGAAGCGGAGGCGTCATAATCTGATTTTGTATAAATGGCTGACTCGGCAGAGGAGGATTGTTCAACATCGGTTGATTAGGGATTAGAGGTTGATTAGGGATGAGAGGTTGATTAGGCAAAGGAGGATTACTTAATAAAGATTGATGGTTGGGAGTGGGCAACAGGGGTTGTTTAGGCAGCGGAGGAGGGTGAGCGAACATGTTGTGGAAGGAGTTGTGGTTGGGATCCAAGAACGGAGGATGAGGTCCATTCTGGTTGAAGAAAGGCGGAGGTTGACCTGGGCCAAACATGGGCTGTCCTTCCATATGCTGCTGAGGTAGCATGTTCCCATCTGTACCGATAACATTACACATTATAGTAAAACATGAACAAAGCTAACATTTTTAAATAATTTAGTTCTTCTATTTAGCTAAATACAAACTGTTCAGGTAGTGAAAGTTGCTGGCACTGCTATTAGGTAAGCTTTGGAGGGAAACGGCATTTAGTTTAGGAATACAGGAAGAGGGGCTGGACACAACTAACTTCCCCAAGAAAACCATTCCAGGCAAGTAATAGCACACACACACATCTCATCACAATGGATGTTTTCTCGTTTTTGTGGTAGGACCTGGGGCCCTATTTTTGAAATAGTTGACAGTTGAGTCAATCGTCAACACTCAACTCAACCAACAACATGATTTGGTATTTTTGAAACCCAACAGTTGAGAAGTGAGTTAGGAATCACTAGTTGAGTGACTCGTGTTGGAAATGTAGGGCATACGACCGCACAAAATTCAGATGACGTCATTTTGAACCAATCACAATGCAGAGTTCTTGCGATCTTCAATTTAACGTCTTCTTACTCTAAAATCTGGATCAGCTAATCTCAATCTACCATATTTGGAGACACTGACTGAGGTAAACTGTCAACTCCGTTCTTGAGAGATTGAGGTTATGTTTTGCTTAATCTTAGTGATTGCAAAAGTACCTTAACTTATATAAACTTAATTAAAAATAAAATTTACTATGGATGTTTGTTTTAGGGTGTAGCTAATTATAAGTTTAGGCATATCCTAAATACATTATTATTTGCTTTCTTCGTCTCTATTTCAGAACACATCGCCTTATTTTAGTTTCCTTCATCCATTAGCCATTGCACTGAAAGCTTATCGTAACTTAAATTAATTTGATTCCTTTATTAGGTGAAAGGTATTGAAACAAACTATGATATTGTTTCTCTCTACCACAATCTTTAATATCTTAAACCATAGGTCTAATAACAATAATTATCTTATAATAAGTTCAATTAGTATGCCTAGTCTATTTCAAACATGCCAACAAGGATAAAACCCTTGATTAAATAGTCTAGTATTGACACAGTAAATAAAATTAAAATGCAATTATTCTACAGAAAACAATCGCATAAAGTATTGGATGCTAAGACATTGACAACAAATACATAACCTCTAAATCGCAATTAATAAATTAAAGCAATAACAATATGGCGTCGACTCAAAAAGAGCATTTTTTTACCGAAAGAGGAAGAAGAAAGTGCAGTCAACCGTCCACTCAACAGCTCGATAGGTGGTGAGTAGTTTTGGTTGGATAAGTCCACCGTCAATTGTTTGAAAAATATGAAACAATTGGAAATAGAGTGACTCAACACTCAACTCAACAATCAACCATTTCAAAAATAGGGCCCCTGGTGAGAGTCTACATGGCTTGGGGTAGGGAAATTTTAGGGCTACAACACTTGCAATTCTAAAACCCCTATTAATAAACTATAATAGTCTAAATGTCCAGCCCAATGACTTAATAATTATGTTGTGAATCTTTTGCGTGCCATCAACTGCCTGGAACTTTATTTGTATAAGTTGTTGTGTATTTCCTTAATCCAAAATGAGTCTTTGCTACAAAATAAGACATCAAGAAAAGCAATGTAGCTTCTACATAGGCCTACTGTGAAATATTCATATCTTAAAATAAAATAGTATGCTTCATCACTAAGACATAAAGTGATTTTTTTGCCACGGTGTGATGGAAAAATAATAAAATAGCTGATCTGAAACCACTTTCAAAACTAATGTAACCGCAGAAGCTTTAAAAAACCATTTACAAAATTACTAGACCTTAAGAAATTTGTATTCCAAAAGAAATACTAACCACCAGGTAGAGCACAAAACATATAAAAACTTCAACAGAAATGTTAACCATTGTTTATACTAGGGATGGACGGGTCCCGAAATTTCGGGAATTTTTCGGGAAAAAAATATTCCCGATTATTGGGACGGGATTACATTTGACTCGGGAATTTTTCGGGACGGGATTTGGTCCGATCGTCGGTAACGCCGTTATTGCGAGTGATAGGTCCGCGAACGCAGGTCATACCGACGATCGCGCCGTGACCGCAGTGTCATACCGACGATCGCGCCGTGACCGCGGAGTCCTACCGACGATTGCGCCGTGACCGCGAGTCATACCGACGATCGCGCCGTGACCTCGAGTCATACCGAAGATCGCGCCGTGATCGCGAGTCATGACGACGATCGCGCCGTGACCGTGAGTCATACAGACGATCACCCCGTGACCCGCGAGTCACAAGTTACTATAGGTACCTGTAAATTGTTACCCATTTTTTGGCTTTTATAGATCATTGCCACAAATGGTAAAAATTGATTTCGTATGTCTTTTTTGGTAACTGCAAAACAGTACTTTCTTTTTATGCACAGAAAAAAATCCCGTCCCGTCCCGAAAATCGGGAAGGAAATAAAAATCCCATCCCGTCCCGTCCCGAACTCAAAATTCAATCCCGTCCATCCCTAGTTTATACATACTGGTTTGATAATTGGTTAGTACACCAGTATGAGTATAGAATACATCAAGTGACATACCAGGTGGATAAGGCATCCACTGATGCTGAGGAAAGCCTGGAGGAGCAAAGTTGTTAGCTTGTTGAGCTGCCAACTCCTGGGCCGCCAGTTGAACTTGCTCCTGTTGACAGATCAAACTGATGATAAAAGACCCAAGTGTCTAGTGCAGCAATGTACAATGACTGTAACCTCTAAAAGTAGGACAGTGCTACTTGCTTTAAACTTTGTCAACATTTTGGCCCAATACAAAAAGAACTTTTAGGTTATTTAAAAAATGTTTAATTTCAGGCTAGCTTCGACCAGGGCATGACTGAACATTGTGCTAATTTAGTCAGGTGGTAAATGTAGTCTATTTACCCATTCAAAACTAATATGACATCCTGGTACATTCTGGTACCATTCTGGTACCTTCGCACTCTTCCACTTAGGAGGCAATTTGACAGGAAGGTACAAAGGAACGGGAGAGGCTGCGGCAGTGGTGACCGGCACAACGGCCGTGGTGGGGAACTGCGCAGGGAGTGACGCCTGGAAAACAGGAACAGGATTAGGAGTAGGAGCTTGAGTAGGAAGAGGCTCACTACTGTGAAATGCTGGGTCAAATCTATGCTGTGGTTTTGAGGAGCACAGTATTTAACTATTAGCCCTTAAGTAGCAAGGGATGATCCAATACACAGAAATAGGTTTAGTTCTTATTTGAACAAATTACACTGTCTCGAATTAGTTAAAAGTATCAAAACAAATTTGAAAGTGTTATAAATTAATATTCAAACTAAGGCAAACGCTCAACTTGCCTGCCACATATTCTCCTGTTGCCGTCTCAGCCTTTCTTCCTCTTCCTGAGCAGCTTTGATGGCAAACAGCTGTCTTCTCTCCAATTTGCTCAGGTGAGATTGTCTGCAATATATTTATGCGTTAAGGATAGGCTAAGTTTATATCTATAAAAAAACTGCGATAGTCTTGAAAGCTTATTGAAAATTACATTATTTACACTTGATCTAGGAGTCAGTAAATAAATGTTTTTATTAATAGTGATGTTTTAAAGTTCAAGCCAAATCCCAACCCATCTAATCTCAAAAAGTATTTAAGATTTATATTTCAGTATTTTTGTTTTGAGGAGGATTCTAATAACTTACTGGGTATTATAAAAAATAATTGTGGGAGATTTTCACTCAAATCGTCGGGCATTGCGCTTCTGCTATTGTGCAGCACGACCTCTGGTCACAGTCAAACTACAGTACAGTTTGAATTGTAGCCCAACACAAATTATGTAGTTTCTTACTCAATTTTTGACACAACAAGCTGAATGTATGACATGGTCAAACTATGATATTAAAAAAAATTATAATCTGATACGGGTTTAGTCTAAATTGATTTTAAATTTATTATTTATTATCGGATCACTAAATTGCCGTATGAATTCTAGATGATACATGCAAAAAAGACTGGATCTTGCTTTAGCTACTTGGAGTTTTTGGTTTCATCTTTACACTTCATAAAGTAACTCCTGATCAGGTAGCAATAAAAAAATTTTAAGCTCAATTACCTGTCGTCGGTTTTGGCAGCTTTTCTTGATTTATCAGAGTCGGGGGAATCTCCTCTTCCCCGTTTACGATCTTTGTCCTTCTCTCGCCTGTCGTAATCATTTCGGCTCCAATGTCTGTAAAAATATTACGTTTTGGTTTCAGATTGTAATCTGTTAAACCTTAAACAGTTTAATATCATAATCTGTACACAAACAAATGTACTGAACATTGGGGTCAACACTTAATATGTTCACCTAGTCAGACACTATTATAAAAGTAATTTTCTCCACGTATTTTAGGTATAAAAAAATTAAAATACAATTAATAGCCTAGTTTGATTTGATGGTTCAAAACAATTCTTTACAACCTAGGAACTTTATATTGGTAATACAGTAGAACCCCTCATATCCGGCCACCACGGGACCAAGCCCCTGACCGGATAACGATTTGGCCGGATAAACCAAACTACTATGAAAATGATAATTCATACCTAATAATAATAGGTAATCAATATATGCAATCAAAGGTATAATTTAATTCTGCTCTGGGATCATTTTTAGAAAAATAAACATGTTTGTAAAAAGAAAAAAAATATTTGTAGGATATAGTCATTAAGTAATGAATGTACAAATATTATGATTCCAGGTAACAAAACCTATTAAATGGAGATAAAAATGACGATAAATTGTACTTAAAGATCATTAGGACTTAAATGGTAAATGCATTTCTACTCAACATTCTTAACCATTTTGTGAAATACAAAAATTAATGTACTCGTACTGTACTGTACTAACCCCACTTTGGAAATAATCAACCAACTGATCAGAGGTTAGGCCTACTAGCTCAACTGAGTATAGTGACTCAGCAAATAAATGTATAAACAAACAGAAAAATAATGAGAACAATTTATTTTATGACTTGAGCAGTCACAAAGACTAGTGGCTGCATCTAAATGTCTGTAAGCTGTGAGAAAAAAAAATTTGATATTGGCTTCCTGGAAGGGGCCGGATAAACAGAGGACCGGTAAAACCAAGGCCGGATATGAGGGGTTCTACTGTATGTAGGAATGTTTAATTTTTTTTAATACAAATACAGAAAAGTAGATCAGCTTATCTGTGTTATCCAAGGACAACTTTACATATTGAAATAGCTTTCAGCTACAATATCATTAAATCTCTGAGCAAGCTGAATACTGAATGTGAGATATCTTTACTCACTGGTATATCATTAATGTCACAACGTCACCCTGACGTCTTACACTTACGGGAATTGGGATGTTGACTGTTTAGAGATTTTAATGTTTGCAATAACATCTTTAATAAAATAAAACATGTTTTTTTATTCAAACTTTTTTACAACTAAACCCTTTACTTTTAAGAAAGCACTCTTGGAAATATAAGTGTGAGGTAAGTAAAAGTTAAACTTATTGTATTTTTAGTTGATGGTTTACGTTTTTACTTTACTATGTGGGTAATTTTATTCACAATTAAGAGTAAACACAGTGAGCCTTATTGCTTGTCAAAGTGGGAAGGGGGGGGGGGCAAATACCTCTTGTGCCCATAGTGCATCAGATACTAACCTCACGCCTGTTTGTACTTCTAAAAAAACTGTAGGATTTGGCAAAAAATTTAAACTTCATTAAAAACCTGGTTTCAGAGTACACAATTTTGTTTTTCTCTATATATATATTTTTAAATAGAAATAGTACGCAAATATGATACAAACAAAAGTTTTACTAAGTTTTTCAAGGTTTACAAATATATTATTGGTTAGTCATCTAGGTGAAATGGTGAAGAACTGGGCGCCAGCAAAGAGAGAGTGTGAGCGCTAGTTGAACACCTCTGCGCTGCGTCGTCGCAATTAGCCCAGTCAATAAACGCACAAACTACCTTTTTAGTAGCTAAATAGTGGAAAGCTGTATTCGTTATCTGTGAAAGAACCACTTAAGACGTGTATTTTAGAAAAGTCCCCTAATCTCCGCCTTAAATTTTCCCCCCACCCCCTTCAAACCTGGAAATTGCAGACGTTAACTTTATTGGATATAATTAAAATTCTACACATGCTATCGTATTGAAATTTGATTTGTATTTTAAAATTAGTTTGTTTTTAAGGTATTCTTCTGAAAATTGTTTTCTAAGAGATATAACATTTTAACTTTATGAAAATGTTTAACTGAGATTTACCTACCTCTCATATGATTTGTCTTTACTTTCAACGGAGCTATCTCTGCATACTATTCGATCTGCAACAAAACATTGGTATTTAAATGTCAAAACAATTAAAAACCCTTTTTAAACTAATGAACAAGTTAGAGTAATGTAATTGTCTCTTAAGCCTCATTTACACGAGGCGGGTAACCTGCCTGCCTACTGACCTCTTGCAAATGTGGCTAAATTTGATTTCACCACAGTCAAAACTTTTGTCAAACAGAACAGTTGTTGAGTGAATTACAATCAAGAACTCAAAAATTTAGTTTTGTTCGGCTAAAACTTGGATCTTTGTTTCTCTAGGCGACAGTTTTATTAGGTATCAGACACAAACTAAGGAAAATTTGTGTGCATTGTTGTTAAGGATTATGACTTCTTTTTACAATAGAATTCAAGACTTTTTCTTAACATTTCTTAACATTCTTAACATTGGCGAATTTAAGACTAATTTATATTTGGGATTTTATACATTAAAATACAGTTCTAAGAGCCTTACACACTAACTGTAAATGTGTCATAATACCTATTTAATTGTTTATTTCATAATTTATTTAATTTACTTGCGTTTAATAAAACTGTTTTGTTTTTTTTCAAACTGTTTTATGCAGGGATAAAAGAGATAAATGCCAAACAAAGGCATCTTCTTCAAATTGTTTTGTAGGAAAAATAATTTCAACTTAATAATTTTAAGAAAAAAGAACTGGTGCTATAATTTTCTTAGTCAAATATTACAGTATTTTTCATGTGTATAACAGTTTGACTCATCTGCAATTTATAGGAGTTGTTTTTAACAGTGCATTATAATTCCCAACAGCATATGCAAAACAAACTAAAAAATATTACTGACACAATTAATTTTAGATCCATGCATGTAGTGGATTATCTTACATTTTGTAAATTTCAATTTAGTTATATTATATTGCCCTTTGAGAAGACAAACGATGTCTAAAATGAGCAAAGCTAAACTAGCTCTTTCTTAACCACAAATGGACACGATTTTAGCCAATTGAGACACACTTCAGAAATTATTGAATTGATTTGGTTTTGCTTCAGATCAACTAGACTTCTTGAACATTGTATATCAAAGCAAGCCTTTTATTGCTTATGCTAGTGTGCCAAGCAGAAAATCTAATTAAACTGGAGGTTTGTATGGTTAAAATTTGTGTTTAAATTTGTCACTCTTGTGTCTATGAGTGCATTGGTCATAAACACCATTGAATAATCATATTTTTTACTTGTTGGGAAGTTGTTACTTGCATCTATTAAAAATTGTACAAGAAGGCTGGTTTTTGCTCGGTATCTTAGGCTAACATACTGACAAGCCCTTTGCTTTACAATGTTTGACTGTATATTTAATATGTTCTCTTATCAAGACTAGACAAAATTGTGCATCAAATTCAAGAGAATTCTAATAATTGTATTTTCATTAATGAGTAATGATGCATAATTCTTTTATATGGTAAGAACAAAATATTCTAAAACATTTTTTGAGTGCGACAGAAATTAGGATTTATTAAATATAAAAAAAAGAGTTAACTATAAAAGCCTATTTCAGTTGTCTAGAAGAATAAATATTACAATTTCACAAGACAACATTAAGAAGAAAATATTGTGTGGTACGTAATATTTTTATTTGCAAACGATATTTTAGTTTCAGATATGGTAATTCAGCTGTCCAGCTGTAGTAAGTGATTAAATTATAAACCAAGATTTTACTTCATAATTTCTCATTACCGACTAACAAAGAGACCGCTGTAGACCGTTCTAAGTTAAGATCTCCATACTCTGCCAAATCCGTTACTGTGAATTGCTCGGAATCTTCTGACAGTTTCTTCTTCTAAATTGTAACCGCCAAGACATCCTGATCTAAAGAAACCCCACAGCAAAGTAATTTCACGTGTGATCACAATTAATTAAAAAAATCAATTCAGTTGTATGAAGTGTTTTTATTGCTTGAGTAATTTTAAAAATAAAATACAACACCTAAAAACGTTAAAACATGGTATAGGTTTTCCTGGAATGTTAACTTTATACCACTAATATAAGGAATTTTGGGCATGGGTGACAGACATAGTTGGAATGATGTGCAATCTGGAAATTTAATTTTTTACAACTTTAACCCAACAGGTGTAAAAAGGACAAGAACTTTATTTTGAAAATAACCAGATGAAAATCCATTTTGTAACTCAACGTCTATGATTCACCAGCATAAATAAAAGACTTGTTTCCACAAAAAAATAATTTATTAACGTGTGATGTATAAGGAATAGTTCAAAAGTCATTTAAAAAATGTTGTGACTGTTAAAAACTCATTAAAGTAATAGACTGGTGGTAAACCCAAACTGTGAATGTTATCTTATCTTTCTGCAACTACAACTCTTTCATCAACCTCATCCAACTACAAAAGACAATTATCAATTATCAATACGACCGAATATTTGAGATTTGTCTTGCGCAATGTTGTGCGAACCTAGAGCTGAACATTTTAATTTTAACACAAAATGGGTTAAAACTCGTAATTCCAGACTGTGTTTCATTAGAATAACCTGAAGTGCCCATATGTCCAAAAAAATAACCTAAATTTGCCCATATGTCCAAAAAAATAACCTAAAGTGCCCATGTGTCCAAAAAAATGCAAACTACTAATGGCTATATTTTAATTTAAACTAAACCAGTCCATTACATTTGGTTTCAAAATATCCTTTGGTTTGACTTATTTAAAAAACGACACAACAAAAATAAAACACCCTATACAAAGTAAAAAGTATGCCTCATCTATGATATAAAATCAAAATTAAAAATATCATACATACACTCTCATTAACTAAAAGGAAGACGATCCTCTTTGGTCCCAAGTGTTTAATGTTTTGCTACTTTTCAGCTCAGTTCACAGAAGAGTTACGGATTCAATTTAATCCGTAAATTTAAGCATTAAAATTGTGCATTTTTAAAAGATCGTTACAAAATAAACAAATGTTACATAAAGTGTTACAAAATAGTTTTAATAGTCTAAAAAATAAAACAAAAGAAATTGTAAGTAATAATTATTGGATGGAAACCCTTATTTTCCTAGTGGCTACCTGCTATTTTCATTCGTGTATTGATTGTAATCATGTATGGATTTTTTAATCCATAAAACATCTCTAATGTGCATTTCTTTTCCTATAAATGCAGGAATCAGGAATGTATTATTTTAGTGGTATTAGCCAGTGTTGTCCATATGTGTGTTGGTGCTAAAAGCTGTTCTTTAAGTAATATATAGAGTATACAGGGTGTTTCACGAGAGGTGTCTCAAATTGATTACGGAAAAACGGCTTAACGTACAAGGATGAAATAAAATTATTTCCCGCTAAATCGACCCCAAGGAATAACGTAAAAATATTTTTAACTTTTTCCTAATACAGGGTGTGCCAAAAACTGAGGGTCACTAGTTCGAATCTCGGAATTTTCAAATGTAAACATATGTCATGTTATACATCGTTTTGAAGGTATTTGATAGACAAACATTTTGGCGAAAACAGAAATTAAATATCTTTTTCCGTTTAAAAATGATGGCAGTTTTTTGAAAAATTCTATATATTTTTTTAATACTCTGAGTTACCTATACCAATGCATTTAGTGCTTCTCCGGTTGGATTTTCTTACTCGTTATGAAATTAGCATTACTTTGATATGCTACAAGCAACGGTTATTTGAAATGATAAAAATTCCAAAAAAATTTATTTTTGAAAATTTGCGAATGCTCATTGTTCAAAATTTTTAAATAGCAACATATGTCAAGTGGCACATCATTTTATAGGTTTTTAAATTCCTAACAACTTTGTAATTTACACTTACTTCGTATCTCTTTTAGTTTTTGCGTAAATAACAAAAAACCTAATTTTCCTATATCAAATGCATGTTATTATTTGGGTTTGACGTGGTTTGACACTTTATGAAATGGAGCCTTTAGTGTTAAACCGTTAAACCCAAATAACATGCATTTGATATAGGAAAATTAGGTTTTTTGTTATTCACGCAAATACTAAAAGAGATACGAAGTAAGTGTAAATTACAAAGTTGTTAGAAATTTAAAAACCTATAAAATGATGTGCCACTTGACATATTTTGCTATTTAAAAATTTTGAACAATGAGCATTCGCAAATTTTCAAAAATATATTTTTTTTAAATTTTTATCATTTTAAATAAATGTTGCTTGTAGCATATCAAAGTAAAGCTAATTTCATAACGAGTAAGAAAATCTAACCGGAGAAGACATAAATGCATTGGTATAAGAAACACAAAGTATTACAAAAATATAGATTTTTTCATAAAAACTGCCGCTATTTTGAAACGGAAAAAGATATTTAATTTCTGTTTTCGCCAAAATGTTTGTCTATCAAATGACTTTAAAACAATGTATAACATGACATATGTTTACATTTGAAAATTCCGAGATTCGAACTAGTGACCCTCAGTTTTTGGCACACCCTGTATTAGGAAAAGGTTAAAAATATTTTTACGTTATTCCTTGGGGTTGATTTAGCAGGAAAAAATTTTATTTCATCCTTGTACGTTAAGCCGTTTTTCCGTAATCAATTTGAGACACCTCTCGTGAAACACCCTGTATACTGGTTGTTCGGTATTCATATTTTTAGAGTATTTAGAAATTAATCATTATGTTAATTAAGTCACTGGTTAATTAATCATGCTAATGGGTATATAAATCACCACATTTATTGTAATATTATTTAGTCTCAGTAACAATTTATTGTAAATAGACTCCCGCTTTCAATATTCAAATGAGATTGCTAAGCCCGCTCGAATTTCCCGCCACAGTAAGGCCTATTTTCCTGTACTACATACCCATGAATCACCTGACACCGTGTTTGCTTCAATCGCATTTCCTATTGGCCATCGAATTCCTAGACCCCTCTAAACCGCAATTGCATTTTTCAAAGTGAAGCCGGTGATCGGCGTCTGTCTGTCCACGGTCGGCGTCCATAACTCACGGTGTATTCCGTTTCTCGTATCTCGGGACATTAGTTGCCCATTTTTACCTCTCTTTAACGTATTTTTAGGCTATAGATTAATTATATCTGGCCTCTCTCTCCTCTATAGTACATTTAACTATATATACATTTTAATTTCCCCCTTTTGTTTGTGATTATATTACTTAAATTGTGATCTAGTGCTTTCAGACTCTTCAAACCTCAAGACAGTGTGTGCGCGTCCGTGTATTACTTCTAGACTTTTCGTACGTTTTCACCGCGACTTCCGCGTATTAGTGAGCTCTTTGTGATTATGAACTTGGGTGCGTTGCGTTCTCCAAAATTCTACAAAACAGAAGCACTCGGTCTAAGGACTCCGCCATCCGCCATCGCTCCACCATAGACGACGCCGCTGCCATACTCTCCACCTTTGGATAATTGGACTCAAGGTACAACCTTAAAGTTTTGTGTGTGTTTTAATTAGACTCTAAAACTAATCTCATTTGCCTCTCACAAGACATTTTATTCCATCTCGGGACCTCAGTGCCCTTCTAATTGCAGATTCGCCATTTTTCTCTAATTTAATTATTTTTCTCTTGAACTATTAATTAGTTCTGGTCCTTCGAGTTATTAATTATTTTCATTTCACCCATTACACCCCTAACACTGGTACATTGTTTATATTTTGAAATATTTGATGATTTTTGATTTTTGTATTGCATTGGGGAAGTTAAATAAGGAAGAAAAGACTCTAGGTCAGTATTTTTTTATCATTATTTACGTTAATTCTTTAATTAACTACAAACAAAACTTTAATAGTTTAAAGTTTAACTGCATTTTGTATACAAAAATTAACTAGCTAACTGATGGATTTATAGTTGACGGTTTAAAATTGTAAAGAGAAATCCAATTTCACACTCTGCTAGAAACGACATTTAGATTGCAGATGTTGGTGTTTACTTGTGTCGTACAACATTGTCTAAGCAGACGGTTGACACAAACTGATTGTGCATACAATCAATCTCACTTCTTTCACCAACAATCATGCCGGTTCACTTGGCTATTTTACTGTTAGTAATGCAATCAGTAAGTTTCTTTTATTAAGTAGGTAGAATAGGTATTCATTGCAAACTGCAGGCCTATTTTAAACTGGAATTTTGAGATTATTGAAGATAATTTTACGATGAGCCGCATCTTTGATGTAGCAATTTTTAATGGCAATACATTGGAGGGTTGGACAAAATTATATTTAGTTTTCTTTCATAAAAAAATTTAAAACCCTTAGTCTTTAAGAAATTTAACTGGGAACAATTAGTATTTTACCATTTAGATTTAAGATAGTCAATTTTTCCTGTTGATATTGATATTTTCAATTATTTATGACAAAATTTGAGATCCCTAGTTTCTAACGTTTAAAAAGAGCAATGTTGGCAACCATACCACTTTGGTTAACTTGGTAGAACAAAACTAATAATTTGACAATTAGGATGTCATGTAAAATAATGATTTAAGGCAATCAAAAATATGTGTAAATATTCAGTAGGCCTATCGTAGATCTTTTTTCAAAATTGATTATTCATTTTGAAATTTGTCCTTGACTTTAAATTACTCCTTTAAGTTCTATATAGGGATGGACGGGTCTTGAAGTTTTGGGAAAGTTTCGGGAAATTTTAAATCTTGTTCTACAAGACAAGATTTTTTTGAGACGAGATAAAAAAAATTTAAAAACGCCTGCAGAAAGTCAATGCAATGGGTATTGTATTGCAGGTGCAATACAAGAGTGCGTTATTGCAATTCCTTTGCGAAGGCGTTCTTATTTAATACATTCTTTATATGTAAATATTGCTTTAATTGTTTTATCATTTACTGATGTTTCAGACTGATAAATTTTGTATTTTTCAAAGATGAGCATGCGTAAGAGTTATTTTTAATAAGATAGGCATAATTACAAGAGACCCCTCTTATCCGGACACCGTTTAACCGGACTACACTAGGCAGATATCGGACTACCGGATCCGCCGGATCTGAGCTAGAACTGACGCCCGATCCAATCCACAAAAAATCGGATCTTGGGCTGGATCCGGTTTTAATGGATCCAAGTTTTTTTTTTTTCTTTCTTCTATTACCAGTAACACAATCCTTTATAAAGTACAATTCATACATAAGACATAGTGTTTTGTCAGTGATGTATTTTAAAATAAAATTAATAGTGGCTATCTGTGTCCATATACAAAACTATCTGTATCCATGTACAAGACTATCTGTGTCAATGTACAAGACTATCTGTGTCCATATTATACAAAACTATCTGTATCCATGTACAAGACTATCTGTGTCAATGTACAAGACCATAAGAGTCCATGTATAAGACTATCTGTGTCCATATACAAAACTATCTGTATCCATGTACAAGACTATCTGTGTCAATGTACAAGACCATCAGAGTCCATGTACAAGACTATCTGTGTCCATATTATACAAAACTATCTGTATCCATGTACAAGACTATCTGTGTCAATGTACAAGACCATCAGAGTCCATGGACAAGACTATCTGTGTCCATATTATACAAAACTATCTGTATCCATGTACAAGACTATCTGTGTCAATGTACAAGACCATCAGAGTCCATGGACAAGACTATCTGTGTCCATATTATACAAAACTATCTGTATCCATGTACAAGACTATCTGTGTCAATGTACAAGACCATCAGAGTCCATGTACACGACTATCTGTATCCATATACAAGACAATCTGTGTCCAAAGATAGTCTTGTTCATGGACACAGACAGTCTTGTATATGGACACAGTAAGTATTTGACATTGCCTAGCCATATGAGTTATTTAAAAAATTCATCCTGAAAACAAACGAAAGAATGTATCTGGATTCGGATCCGAAGATCTGGATCTGATTTCTTCAAGATCCGGATCCGGATCCGGTACCGACATTTTTTTATACTGATGTTTATTATTATTGTTTTTAAATATATTTTTCTTAAATATTCTGGCCTATTATTATTATTTTTGTATTCAACCAATCAGTCATAAATCAGTAGGTGTTTAATGTTACAAAATCAGGTTAAAATTGTGTCGAACGTGCATTTCCCGTAAGGTATGAGAAGGAAAATCTTGTCCCAAAATTTGATGAGAAATTAAAAATCCCATCTCGTCTCGTCTCAAACTAAAAATCCAATCTCATCCATCCCTAAGGAACCATAGGGTACTAAAAACTAGACGAGTGAAAGTGTCTTGAATGCTAGCACATGAATGGGCCTGAAGATGGACCTGTGCACCAAAATCACGGATGTAGCTTAAGATGTACTAGTTTTACAATTCTTTTACTGTTGCAGATATTTATGAAAACTGCATTAACGATGCCACCACGAGCCCCAATACTACAATATTTCAACAAAACTCCAGCGAGGAGCGATAAAAGCCTATTGGACCGTGAAATACCGGACGATGTCATTTACGATCTGGCTGGTAGAATGAAGCTGATAACTCGCGATGGCGTCACAGACGAATACAAGGTTTACAATGTGAACAGAGATAATCGTGGAGTTCCTATCGTTAAAGACCCCGTCACTGGACATGATTACGTTGTGAAGCACAGCCGAATCACCAAAGGTGTCAAGATATACAGGAAAATATTGGACACGACTGGTGAACCAGTGGTTTATGACTGGGCGAATATGACAATGAACCAAATAAAAATAAATAACCACGGAGAAGTTGAATTGGTACCAATTGAGAGCGAAGACTTAGATTCAAAGTTTGATGATTAACAGAGATACCGTACCTATTTAAAGGACAATTTTAAAAACCAAGATTACCAAATTTTTTATGGTAGAGAACATGTTGATTTTGAATCTGAAAAGTTAAACGTACAGAAAATAATATTGAACCATAATATTAAAATATTGTGAATAGGCAATACGTTACATTTCTCACTGACTCTATTCATTGTACTTGTACATCTTATACATTTAAAACAAAGTCATGTTGCCACACCACTTATAACTCAAAAACAGATGGACCGATTTTAATAATTTTTTATTTGTTGGATTCGTCTTTGTCTCGATTAACATATAGGCATATTCAGTTTTGAATTTAACCTTAGGGATAAGCCCCACTGGCCTGTAAAGTTTGTATGTTAAGCTTATGGAGCTATTGGAAGAATGTAAATAAACAAAAATATTAATTGAAGCCAGCTGTAAATACTTTAATTTGACAGTTCAAAGAGCAGAGGTTAAGAGGTACAGGTTCTGCTCCCAAGATTCTTAAGTTGTTTATGAGAATACTGCTATAGACAAAAAAGAATTAACCCTAGCAACGGCAAACGCCGGATATACGGCGCCAATGCAGGTGTTACGGTATATATATATATATATATATTTTTAAATGGCCTTAGAGCCGAAACTATAGTCAGTAAATATTTTAATAAATAATTTTTACTTGGGTACTAAGTTTATTAATATTATATAAGGTGTACGGTTTTGTACATGACCTGGGTTGGATGATTATTTGGTACTAGCGCGGGGATACGATCAACATAATAATAGGGCTATCAAACAAAATACACAAAATAAGCTATATAAACTATATACCTATTTTTGGAATCAGCACAAAATTTACTACAACTTTACAATTTACCTTATGATGATAAGTCTTACCTGCACTTAGCTACGCGACGGAATATAAAAACATTTTATACAAAAATTAATAATTTAATGGTTTGAAATATTATGTTTAAGATGATTTTTATCCTCAGAGTTATCTGACCTTTCCGCTTAACCAACCTTGCTATAGTTAAAGTTCAGAAAGCTATACTGTATTCTAACTACTGATAGGTGATGTAAATCCAAACTAGACAACACAATCTAACAATTTTACAGCAAGGTAGCCATGACAGGCATTGTACAGGGAAACATAGCTCTAACAACAAACTCACCCGCTTCCCTCTCATGCTCCTTCATTTGTTCGATGCGCTCCTTCTTTGGTATCCTAAACACTTCTTTCAAGGACGCCCACTCTTGTAACAAAAAGTTTGCAAGCTCAACAATTTTCTTCCTGTTACTCTCTTTTTGCTCTTCTGTTTCTTCCAATTTGATTTGATTGGAGTCGTCAGAATTCTTTTCCGGTTCACTCCCCTTGGTTGGGTTTTCCGTATCTGCTTTGTCCGATTCATCTTCCGTTGAACTTCTGTGAACAAATATATGAAGTTGGTAGTATTTTAAAAATCAACTGATAAGGTAGACTAGTCCAAATCCAACAAATATTTTATGGACATGCCAGGGATTAAAACTTTTCTTCTCCATGGATATCCAACAAATATGATGAATTGATGATTAACCCAACTTTTCAACACAGTTCATCTTGTTGGAACCTAGTTATCACAAATTATTGTTTAAAAAACTCAAAATATCTAAAGTTTTATTCAAACTATTCATACAAAAAACAATATAGATTACAATATAGATGTTACAGAAAATAGTAGTATTGTCTTGGATGTAAAAAACATGTTGATATTAAATGGGATGAGATATTTAGTAAATTTCCCGACAAGAATTACTAATACTTCAGAAATAGTAATAGATAATGTTTTTACAAACATCGAAAAACAACTCTTTCATGTAACGGGATTAAACACTCAGCTTTCAGATCATTGTGCTCAACTAGAAGAAATATCAGCTGTAAAACTTAGCAACAACACCACATATTTGGAATACTGTGGAAAATTTAATAACTACAATGTAGTGATGGGCAGATCCAAGAAAATGTCGGTACTTTTTACATACATGGGTTCAAGGTTTTGACAATGGGTGCCCTATTTAAATAAATCCTCGCTGAGTACCTGTCTTTGGCTTCAGTCACAGCCTGTCCGCTGGTCGACCATTTTTCCACCACACTCAGAACCTTGCTGTCTTGCAGCATCGTCTTGTTTTGTATGGGTAGTTTGGCCAGAGTTTCCAAAATCTGTATAATAATCAGACAGAATGTTTATCTCATCAAATAGTGTCACTAATTTAGGAAAAAAAACAATCAACTTTCTTTTTTACTAGGTATACTAACAATTTATCATTATTGCTTGCAGGTAACTAAAACAAAAGACATTATCAGTTTAAATAAACTAAATTGAATAAATGTTAATAAATGCAATTTATATTCATGTCAGAAGTTAATAATTTACATGAGGAGTACTCAGTTGGTGCCTCAATTCAAATGCAGTAAAACCCCTTTAAAATACTTTCTGCCGTTTAAATCGAAACCGCAAAAAAATTGTAAACAATAAAAACAATAAGGATATTTCCAATGGGGCACAGGTGGATGGTATGAGTCATTGTTGTGGCAACCAATGAGAAGAGAATGTTCAGAAAACAATTGAAATGTTGTATGAATCTGGTTTGCTTTCACCGAAACAGCCTTAAATATAATTGATTAACTAAAAAAAATAGGTTATCCAAAATGTCCTTATCTGCTATATTTTGGTTTAACTGTAGATTGGTTTTCATTCTAAAACTGGCAACAAATTAACACGAGAATAAGTCTAACTTACTTCCCACCTTTGTGAAAGATATGTTAATTTACCAACTAAATAATAACTGAATTGATTAAATTGGAAAGTCACTAACGTCAATCTTGAGTCGAGAGTCGGTGGCCGGATCCATCATCCAGCTCCAGATGAGCCTCAGTCCGTGGTAGTCCAGGAACAGTCTCAGACACGCAGTCTCTCCGAGCCGCAGAATATTGAGCAGCTGAGCGCGCGGTTCGTGGTCCTCGGCTCGGACCATCAGCCGACACAGCAGCAACGTCTGGGCTCGGTTTTTCAGCACCAGCTTCTCTATCTCCTCTTCCAGCTGAGCAACATAACCACGTTAGAACATTTCACTTTACAACAATAATATTTGTACTTGTACTTCACTTTTTTAAGGTTTAAGCCTATATACTGATTATTCACATTGTATTTCTTACTAATTAATCAACGGTAATCACACCTATTCAAATATTAATCACAATTTAGAATTACTACACACATGCCACAGACAGAGCTGTGTTTGGACACATAAAATAATCACCATACACAAGTACCAGAGATAAACAGAGCTGTCATGGAAAAACTAAAGAATGTCTTTACAAGCAGGGGGCATTTAAATCCAACATCATTTAACACGTTCAATGCGGGCGTATCCGATCGGATACGGGCCGCGCGCTGTTCAGGTGCTGCCGTAACCGATCGGATACGCTCGGCAATGCCTTTCGTATATCTTAGTTTTTGCTCTAGCGTCGGTCGAAGGCGGACCTATACCACATTAGCGTGTAGTGGGTGACTTGCTTTTTGTTGTGTTGTAGGTTGGTAGTAAAATTTCCCCATAAAATCCCCGTCTGGCAAACTTAAAAATCAACTTGTCCCGTCTTTCTCCCTCCAATTGGCAATACAATGGGACCGGCTACGTTCCAAGCAGTGCTGCTATCTGTGAGTGTTTAGCAAACTACGTAGACTCTCGTTATAAAGCAGGACATCACCGCTCGTTATTTGCTATTCGTAATACCAAAATATGAGAGCCAATCACCCAGCAATCGGGTTTGTTCGACGCTGCAGGCTGCGCCGCACTGGGGCTACGCCTGCCATTTGATGGCCCGCAGCGAAGGTGTTAAGACTCCTCAGATACTAGAGTTTGATTCTAGGAAGAAACTAGAACTTTTCACAGGTGAGGAAGTGTGTGGGGACAAGGTATGTTATAAGTGGTAACAAACGCTAGTCTAGACCAGTCTGTTGCGCCATATACGTCTCTACATATTTTTTCGGCAGCTTTTCTGTGTTTTCCATGTTCTTTTATGTATTTTTGTGTTATTATTTTATTAAAAAAAACAGACGTGTTCTACTAAATTATCTAAAATTGACACCTTATGACCTGATGAAGACTCCAACAATGGAAAGTGCATAGGCATGTTTGTTTGTTGATCTGGTTATGATTTTTTTTTTGCTATTTGATTAACTGTGACAGACATGTTTATTTTATGTTAAATACTCAAATGCAACAAAATAAATTATTTTGTTGAATTTTGGGCGAACTGAAGCCGTTATGAACGGTTAAACAAAACTGCCTTGCCCAACTTTTGCATATCAGGGAGAACCCTTACTGGATTTTTTTTTTACTAAAATTTTAGTAGGCCTAACTTACATCAATATCATTTAACATGTCTTTTTCTTTTCTCCTATCCTCTTTCTTCTTCCTCTCCTTTTCTTTCCGTTCTTTGCTTTTCCCGGTGATATCAGACCACTTGTTTTCTTTCTCCGGGTCTTCACCAATCCAGCCTCGACACTGAGCTGTCTGGCAGTGGCAACGTTGCGCTTCTTTACTGTAAAACAAATTTTGTAATTTCAAACAAATAAAATATATTAGGTGTTCTATAAATTTGACAAATCAAAGATTGATCTAAGATCAACAGTATGATGAAAAGACTGATTGTATTGAAGTACAAGGGTGGACCAATGAAGAAAACAAGCATTTTTAAATTTGATATCTAGCACACAAGGTGTTGCTTGGAATTTAGTTAATTTCCAATCACATCTGAAAACAAATATGAAAACAAAAACAGTATGTTTCTTGATCAAAGAAAATTCTCACTATATTGCAAGACTTTGGACAGAATAGAACTGGACATTCCATTCCCATATAAAGTTGTGACCAGTTTTTAAATAAAACTGAGTGGAGAGGAGTGGAGTTGAGCCACTGACAAGAGTGTGCTAATTTAAATAACTGATTTCTATGGAATACATATAAACTTTTTCACCACAACAAAATGTGACAACTTAATGTTAATTTTAGTATCTTATTTTTCACGTAAACTGTCACAGTAGGCCTAAGGGATAAAACTAAAAAGTATACTAATAGTACAGTGCAATTAGCTTAAAAAAAAAGCAAACCGGGACATCCAAAAAAAAAGTTTCAAACCAGCGCAAAATTGTTGAATACACTTCCCTCAATATGAAAAAAAAAGTTACACTGATTTTAGTGTCGGGTTTGGGGGGGAGGGGGTGAAAATGGGGTGAAAATATGACTTTTTTTTACTTTTTCGCAAATACCTCAAAAACGGTGCGTTTTTCTTAAATACAATGAATTACAAAAATAATCTACATTAGATTTCGAACAAAATGATACCATACAATACCTATCTACTAAATGTGATTTTTTCTTAAAATTCTAAAAAAAAAAATGTTTTTTAATGGAGAAAAATCATGGACACCCATAGAAAAAGTTTCTAATGAGTGCCAAATTGTTCAATAATCCTCCCTTAATATGTGCAAAAAAGTTACACTGATTTGAGTGTCGGATTTGGGAAGGAGGGTTTATGAGAAAAGTGAGGGGAATGGGGCGTTTTTTACTATTTTACAAATATCTCGAAAACGGTGCGTTTTTCTTAAAATATAACGAACTACAAAAATAATCTACATTAAACTTAAAACAAGATGATACCATTCAATACCGAGCCTATCTACCATTAACGGGTAAAGAGATATTGAGGGGTAAATGTGATTTTTTTCTTTTAATTCTAAAAGTTGTTTTTTTAAATGCAGGAAAACTATGGATACCCATAAAAAAGTTCCTATTGAGTGCTAAATTATTCAATAGACCTCCCTTAATATGTGTAATAAAGTTACACTGATTTGAGTCTCTGATTTGGTAGGAGGGTTTTTCAAAAAGGGAGGCTCGTAAAGGGTGCGTTTTTTTTTTATATAATGAATTACAAAAAAAATCTTTATTGAATTTCAAACACAATCTTACTATACAATACCTATACTATGAACGGTTGTAAAAATTTCAACTACATTCTAATAAAATAATAAAATACGATAAAAATATTGATTTCCTTGTAAAAAATTGGCCACCATTTTCCAAAATGGCAGCTAACTTTAATATTGGAACATTCTGTAAACATGGTCTGTTTAAGATATAAATGCCATTTAACATTTTTTTGTTCTTTGGATTTTCTCTATAAACTTATTGAATTATGAGCTACAGGATGTGGAATGTACACAGCAAGCCTTTTTTCCATAAGTGTAACACGTTGTAACTCCTAAACGAGTAGTTTTTAAGAGAAAATGTTAAAATTAAAATGTTTTTAAATTGCATTTGAATTCTAAAACAATCATAAACCCATGGTGTTCCATAAGAAATAACAAAGTTGTCGGCCATATTGGAAAATGGCAAACATATTTTTAAAATTGGAAATCATCCCAAAAAACATCTAAAAAGTAAAGGGGAGTGCTCCATAAGAAGTCAACTCTATAACTCATAATTAAAAAAATTAGCTATAGGTTCACTTTACGTGAGATCCTACAGGGTGTCCCGTACGAACAGCCAAACTCCAGGAAATGGTTCTATGGGTCAAAATAAAAAGAAAATCAAGAATAAATTATTTCCCAAAATCGCTTCGTTAACCAGATATTTGCTATTTTGTTTTTTTACACATAAACATTATTTTATCTTTGAATTTTTTAACCGATCATTATGTAACTTGGTATGTATGTTGAGGTCAAATAGACTAGAAAAAGAATTATCTTAATCCAATTAAAAATTTCAAAATGATGGCCATTTCAATTTTTTTAATTGAAATTGCAAAAAATGGCTAATTTTATGAAAAAATGTCAATAAAAATTTTATTTAGCTTTTAAAATAATGAAAATAATAAAGAAATAAATTAAATATCACGATTTTTAGTTGTAAAATGAGGCAAACCTGAATAGCGTAGCCTTGATGATAATAATTTTACAACTAAAAATCGTTATAATTTAGTTATTTTTATTCGATCTTTTTGAGCTTGGTGCGTTTGATAGGGAATTTTAAAACCGAAATAAAAGTGTTCATGACATTTTTCATAAAATTAAAAGGAGTACGTGTAAGTTTGAATGAATCAACAATATCAGGTTAGATCAAATTATATTTGTGTAAGTAGTGGGCGAAGTGGCCCCCCCCCTCAATATCTCCTGAACCGTTCATATTAGATAGGTAGGCTATTGTAAGGTATCAATTTGTTCAAAATTTAATGTAGATTATTTTTGTAATTCATTGTATTTTAAGAAAAACGCACCGTTTTTGAGGTATTTGCGAAAAAGTAAAAAAGTCCTATTTTCACCCAATTTTCTTTAAAACCTATTTCCCAAATCCGACACTCAAATCAGTGTAACTTTTTTACACATATTAAGGGAGATCTATTGAACAATTTGGCACTCATTAGAAACTTTTTCCATGTGTGTCCATGGGTTTTCTCCATTTAAAAAACAATTTTTTTTAGAATTTTAAGAAAAATCACATTTACCCCCCAATATCTCCTGAACCGTTTATAGTAGATAGGTATTGTATGGTATCATTTTGTTTGAAATTTAATGTAGATTTTTTTGTAATTCATTGTATTTAAAGAAAAACGCCACCAAAAGAATTACTTGCACCGTTTTTGAGGTATTTGCGAAAAAGTAAAAAAAGTCATATTTTCACCCCATTTTCACCCCCTCCCCCCCAAACCCGACACTCAAATCAGTGTAACTTTTTTTTACATATTGAGGGAAGTGTATTCAACAATTTTGCGTTGGTTTGAAACTTTTTTTTTATGTCCCGGTCTAGGTCTAATTGCGCCGTACTATAAGGGATAAAATCAGGTTTTAGATTGCAGCATACTCTGTGAGAGACTCATTTAACTACAATCTTTTCTGATAACAATTTGCTATAATTTGTCCCAAGTCTCAGTAGCTGTCCATTAGTATATGATGATAGCCTATAGCTTATTTTCATAATACATTTCACATTTTTCTAGCATAGCTGTTGAAACCGAAAATTGTCAATTCTTAAAATTAAAATTTAAAAATTTGAAACCTCACTTATTTAGGTGAACACATTTAGTATTTTATTGCTTGTTAAACTTGGCAGTATCATTAATCTTTTTAAAATAAGAAGGTTAACAGTTGGAACTTAAAGCCTTATACAGTGACTTTTCATAAAGGCATGGTCAATGTCTTGAAGACTGCAAATAATATTTTTGACAAGTTGGGGATTGATTTATAAATGTTATTTTTATAATTCCTGATTAATCTTTATGCTACACAAAATAGCAGAATTGTGTATGAGTAAATAGAAAGTAAAACTTCACGTTTCATAAAGCAGTTTACATGATTTCTTTTAATACAGTAATACAATTCTTATAAACTTCTTTTGCATCTTAAAAATGGTCGAGGCATATACAGATTGAGCCCCATATATCATCAATTATATCATTTGGGAAAAACGTCATAAAATGATTTTAAGCTCAAAATTATACTCCCCGAGGTACAGTGGTTTGCTTTTATTACAAAGTAAAAAAAAAACTTACCCATAGCGCTGCAACTGATAGTCAAACGTGATTTCTTCACCGGCAGAGATTTGCCTTTTACTAAAAAATCCAACTCTCAGTTCCCCATTAACGGTCCACTGCAACAAAGCACTACAATCAACTCTTTTAAAAGTCGGAAATAATAAGCACACTTATTGAATCAAATCTCATAGTAAAGGGATAACAAGTTTAACATTTTTTAGGCTAAGCAGCTTTTCTGATTCATTTAGAGAATTGTTTCAAAAGGATTCGTGGTAAGTTGAATAAATTTTAACTTGGATCAAAAACCAGTAGGCCTATACAAAATTGACTTAGGCCTAGGCCTACTTTCATTTGATACTACAAAGAAAAAACTTTTATTTTCACAAAAGTTGGACAATATTTTAATCAAATTAGGCCTGTAAATAATAATAAATAATAAATAATTTAATCAAATTAGGACAGTATCAATAAATAGGAAAATATACATACATGAATGATTTGTTCTCGATAATTTATTTTGGAGACAATGTTTAGGCCCTTTAAGGAAAATATCATAAAAATCCACACACAAATAACTAAAAGGCAAGAAACAGCAGGATTATATGATATCAAATATATCTCTTCATATCAGTTACTAAACTAAAGTACAGTAATTATGTAATGAATAAGTTTAACGGCAGCTAACATTGAAAAAAAAGATTAAAATACACAAATCCAATAATCTAAAACAAGCGCATTCAGAGGCAAACTTTTTTTCTGTCCGAGGATTTTTGATTTTGTTTTCTTTAATACGGGGTGATTGTCCACGAGAAATCGATTGGAGTTGGTCAAAAGGCTGGGAAAAATCTAGTTTCCGTCCTACAGCCCTTGAAAGTGCCCATCCCATGTTATCGTGAATTCCTTTTTGTAAAAAAACAGCTGAAGCAGATTATTTTTACTGTCATCATTTTGATTTACGTGTAAACAAAAATAACTATTGGTTAGTTTTTACTAAACATATTATAGAATAGTTATATTAACTTTTGGTTTACATACAGGGACATATTTCCGAATAGGCGGACTAGGCGCGCGCCTAGGGCGGCAAATTTTAGGGGCAGCAAAATTTTGAAAAATAAATTATCAAAAAGGAGGTGATAAACACATTAAAGTCAAAGTTGATAATTTATTATATGGCTTTGCCGTCTTTTCCGTGCTGCCCTATCGGTCTGGCGGACACGTCGTGGATCGCGGGCATGGGCTGATGGTATTGGGGTAATGTTATTGTGGTCGGTGAGCGCACTGACGATGGTGGGGGGACGGGGCGGCTAACTTATTCCCTGCCTAGATAGAGGCGGTAGATAGTTAAATACCCCCTGTTTACATTTTACTTTTAAATGTTTTCAAGGTTAATTTACAAGAATAACAATGAAACACGGAAGACCTCCGAAAATATAAATCCAAAAAGGAGAAAAGCTACAATCAATCCTCAGGAAACAAAATTCACCTCCTTGTCTACAACCGAGCCAGTTCCAACCAGCTTATACATCTCACGAAATGTCTCGAAACCTAGGCCAAGTCTCGCATCAAAGAAAAAAACGATATAAATAATTTAGGATCTTATGGCCGTGCAAAATAATTAACAACAGGCCGATCATCTTGAGTGGAGTGTCAACGTATTGCTGCTCGTCGTTTGGAAGAACGTCAGTGCACTGCAATTCCTCAAACCTCTAAAGTCGCCATGTCAGCGGATTTTGGATATTCACGATTGGAACCGTTTGACGCGTCATGAACGCACGCACACAACGTGTGTCGATCTGATCCGCGGTCAGAAGGTAGTTCTTTAACAACCAAACTGATCCAGAAATCTGCCAGGTAGAAAATGGGGTCGCTTGAAACCAGTTTGATCCACGAGGCGTGGGGGATGGCCCCTACTCCCTGTAGCCTACAGGTAGCCTTAAACACACTATTCAGAAAAGAGCTATACCTGACACTTGTCATTGCCCAAACATGCAGATGTATTCGGCAGCCGACTTTGGTGAAAACCCATATTTGTAAGGAATGCCTGCCTTGAAGCGTAATTTTAAACCTAATTTATTCTAACCTTCTGGGTTTCCGCATTTGGATCACAGCTGTGGTTGATGAACCGTGATATGTTCCCCTTCTGAGTAGCATCAATTATGGAGTCCGATTTTAAAGCCATAAAGTAGAAATGTTGATTTTTGTCTTTAGCGTAGTCTTTGGCCCTTCTCCGAAACTCCTTAGGATCCAGTACTTCCCCAACATATTCCAACAAAAAAGTATCTCTGGAATAAAAAGCAATGGTTACTAAACTGGAATAATGATGGAACACAGGGTACAGGAGTCTAGATTTTTAAGGATTTTTGTTGGAATACCAGGGAAAGATTTTTGTTTCTGGATGGGACAAAGAACTGACACAAGAAATACAAAACAAAAACATTACAAGAAAAGTAAAATACTTCCTCTATAACTTGGTAATTTAACCAAGAAACCAGTGCTACTTAGTGACAACTGATAATGAAATATTCTAGATGTCTCCACTTCTGAGCTTAAATTGAAAGAATACCATCTTTTTGCTTTATTTACAGTATTATCTGTTTGAGACGCTACAATCTAGTAACGTGTTTGAGTAATGTGTTTGTAGTATCATTTGACACAACTTGTAAGCTATATAGGGTGTTAATAAAAGAATGCCGGGATTTTAAACGGTTCGGGGACTACAAGATGAATAAATGATTTAAACTCAAATTGAAGGGAAAAGAACAAAGGTTATTTTCATACTTTGATTAATAAAATTCAGATTTTCATCAATCTTATATGAACGTAAAACTGGCTAAGTCTGTAAGCTTAGGGCAATCGGCAGGTTTATGTGATGTCTTAACTGAATCTTTTTAGGCACAAAGATTCTATCTTTTACAGATAACATCATGAAGTGTTGATTTAAGTAAGTTCAGTATTGATTTAGGTAACTTGAACTCAAGACTTCTGGGGTTCAATCGATTTTTTAGGGGGGGCTTCTGATGCAGAATTGTAGGATTTCTTCGACTATGTCATCGCTTGTTTTTAGCCGGCAAGGTGAATGTCTTTTCAAAACACTATGGTGCCACAAAACTCATTAAACCAGCGTCAAAATTCCTTTATCATAAAGTAGTTTTAAATTTAGTTTAATTCAACTTATATAAACTCTGTGAACCACAGATTACACTCTGTACATTCTGTTGCGCCGTAAACATGGTACTAGCAACTGACGTCAGGCTTGTGAGACGCAATAGCGGCCTACAACCCCGCACCTTTTTTATGCATGCCAAGGTTTCCTCCCTTGCTACACGGGAAACAAAACTTAGTTGTTTTAGCTTCAATTTGACGTATAAAACGTTTAGTAACCTTGAATAGTATCCAAGCAATTACCATTTAAAATCCTGGCATTCTTTTATAAACACCCTGTACATAACAATCAACCAAACACACATTCTAATAAAATATCCAAAGCACCTACATAGGAATATCCTCTAGAGCTTTCAGTCCAAATCCTTTAAGCTCTGTTTTGAACACTTCACACTTAGCATATTCCAAATTTTGGAACCTCTTGTTGGCACAACGTTCTCCAAGCATGCATCTAGCACCACTGAAACATAAAAAAAAATATAGTATAGTAGTAGTGTATAGTAGAAATAATACAGAAATGATGACAGTAATGTCAGTGAGCCGAAAAAAGACCACCGATAAAAGCCATTGCAGCGGTTAAAAATATTCCTAAAACAGTAAAGGCTATTTATTACAAGATATGAGGTGAATTTCTTTGAATATCCAACCTCAGGGCCGACGCGCATTATCCTGACCACGACCAAAAACGCCCGACCGGTCGTTGTCGTTCACCATGCTACCAGAGCATGACCTGACCAAGGCAACGAATGTTTTACCAACTTCAGTGTCAAGATGGATGTTGAAGAAGTAGCTGCTGTGGTGTAATTGCATCGTAGGTACGTTAAGCGGAAGAAGCAGAGATACTGGGTACATCCAATGTTAACTGTCAGATCTACAATAAGGCAGTTTGCAACATTTTATGAAGAGCTACGTCAATATGAAAGCAGGGTTTTAATTACACAGCCACACAAAAAACAAGTTTTCATCGTTTGATTGATTTAGGAATATTGGGCTTGAGTGGTGTACTGGTCGGGTCGGAGACAAGTCGGGGGTAGTGCGCGTCGTCCCATTGCATTGTGTGCTATTTTTGGCTGCTACAGCCAGCGAGTCGGGCCCGAACAAACTGCAATGACTTTGGTCGAGCGACCAGGGTCCGACCAGTTGACCGGTGGGTGCTGTTCCATTTACGCCTCTTATAAAACTGGCCGTGTCCGACCAGCCGGAGTCGTGGTCTTGGTCATGGTCGGGATAGTGCGCACCCATGGTGGAAGTAAATAAGGTGTGCTACTCAGCCGGACGAGTTTGAGACCGTTCTGCGCATCGCGACGTGACGTCACCTTGGGGGCAAACCGCTTCGCGCGCGTATATAGCTCATCGTGACACTGCTCTATTAGCATCAACATTTTGAACTGTTAGAATTGAGGGAAAATTATGAAACTTGACATGGACATCAATTGCTACCAAATCACGTACTATTTGGTTAGAAGCATTTGACCAGCGGGAAAGTTTTAGATAAAGATCCAAATTTAACTTTCCTTCAAACTATATACCGATAGGGGCGTTATTTCCTGAGATATGCTAAGTTATATGAGCGCGTGATCAGAGCGCGTGCTGCGAGTCGAGTCAGTTGCCAAGTATTAATCACACACATTGCCATTCAACAAATAATGTTGTATCATGAATATAGTATCATTGATATTTTTATTCCTGTATTTATATTTTTATGTGAAAAATTGTTGTTCTGTTGACTTCAGTGTGTTTTTCCCCGTTTGAATATGGGTTATTTCGTAATAGTTCACAGAGAATATATAATATTGTCTCCTCGGTGAATAGGGTTAACGTTGCCAAATTGCATTTAAAGTATTGCAAATCGTTGTTGATTAGTTAAAACCAAAGTTTGCAAATAGTGGTTTAAATAATAAATGATCTTTAACTCAAAGGAATGTATTTAACGTAGTATATAAAATAAAATGTACTCTGTTAAAAAATAAGTTGGTGATTAAACATTGTATTTATAATCAGGTTAAAATATAAAATTGTTTCACTCTTGCAATACCATGATAATAAAATGTGATATTCCAGTTTAATTCGACAGCTAGGATCCTATTTCACTGGGGTTGTTATCTATGTCGCAACTTTGGCTTGGGTGCGGGGGTGTGTGCGGGGGATGATCACGTGTTGTTTGTTTTGTTTTCGTTTCTGTGTTCACCGCGAGTTGCAGTAGATGTCAGTTTTCCATAGGGCACACATCTTTCTACAAAAATGCCCCATTATGCAGTGTACGGTTGTTGTAATAGTTCGAAAAATAAGAAAACGCAACCAAACGTGCGATATTTTAGTTTTCCTCAACAAATCAACAGGAGGCTAAGACAATGCAATTTTGCTAGTGGCAAAAAAAAAAATTTTCTAAAGAAACTTAAAAAAGTTTAGAAAAATCCAGAGGTAATGAAATGTTTAATTTTTTAGATGTTTACTTTCAGGTCGTAAATATTTTTATAAGAATGCAAAATGTAATAAACTATGTTTTTGGTAAAGGAAATGTTATTCATTTCCGATGCTACAAATTTTATGGCAACTGTTATCAAAGAGAGTTAATTTGTATAAAAACGAAGATGTTGCAACGTATTTTAATGTAAAACTTATTATATCCGTCACATGTTAATATTACATATTTAATTTAAAATGTAGAATACAAAGTATATCATTATAACATGTAGCTACAGTGTTTTGGATAATAAATGCGTGGCCTTATTATCTAATAAACGGTGGCATCGGCTGAGCGCGCGCTCCGTTGCCGCTTGATATAATTCTTCGTAGCTAAAAAAGTAATTCTTTTATCGAAATCCAACCGATACTACAGTTAAATTAGAACCTTTCCCTAAAACTTTCCCGCAGGTCTCATAAACCTGACCAAATAATACGTGATTTGGTAGCCGACTAACTTTTTTGTGTTAGTATGAAAAAGTTTGAAGTTTGATCGGTGGTTGAATGGTTTTTAATTCAAATAAATTAATAAAATTTAAACCATAAGCATTCTATGTTAATAGTCCAAGACTATGCAAAGTTTCAGGAATTTTTATCGGTTCTTACTATTAAAAATTACAAGTTTATTAGAGCGGCGTCACTGCTCGATATGGTCGCAATGCATGTTTGTCCCCAAGGTGACGTCACGATACCCCTCCCCCCCCCCGCCTGCAGCCGGCTACGATGCGCAGTAGCACACCTTATTTACTTCCACCATGGTGCGCACCGGCCCTCAGGTGTATATCCTCAAACTCTGCCTAACGTGTGTAAACTCTTAATCAGAGTAAAAAAACTCAATACAGGATTATTGAATGTGCAAGAACGGAGTTAAGTGTTTGAAGGTAGAAAATGTGCACAAGTGGAGGGTTATCGAAGGTGGTGTTAAACATTTGCATGATATTTTCCATGGTGCAACAAGCCAGCTGTTGTTTCGCAGTCTTATTTGTAGTAGTGATTAAAGTAAAGGAATTCCACATACAGATCGTGGTGTGACTGAACAAGGAAGATAAATGAACTAATAGGTGAGTATTTGTAAGACTATTAAAGGACTACGGTGAGTCCTAACACGCCAATCAGCAAGCAAAAATACCTCAAATTCAATGACTGCTACGATAGAAACTGATGAACACCCGCTACCAGCTTATTGTCCAAATATACAATGGCTTCTACAAACTTCCTAAGCCACTAAATTCCCGTTTTTGAATGCTATTACGAGACTACTCGTGCCATTGGGATAAAAACTGGCTAGAATATTAGTGGATGAATTGAGGAAAACGTGTCAGATCTGAACTAATTCACTTGGCTACTATGGAAGCTTGGCGGAAACCTTAATTTACAGATATTAAATTGTAATATTAAATTGGCCACTTGTATGCTCCATTCATTTTTATAGATTTACTAAAGAAGCCTATGTTATTAATTACCAATACATGCAATTTCTCTCACCACTCGATCATTAGCAGTCGGTTGAGGCAGTCTTCGCCACATCCCATGTCTCCTCTTGCTATTTCCTCTTTGGTCAACGTGCAATCACATACCATCCTCTTGGCTTCTTTGCTCTTTAACCTAAAAACATAGTACAAACTTTTGAGAATAAGAATCTGTTGTCATTAGACACAGAAGTGGTCTAACTTAGTTATACCGGTGGTATTAATGGCTAATACATTCATTGTCAAATCCATAACAAAATTCAACAGGAGTGTACGAGATACAAAACTTATTAGTTATTGGCATAATGTTCAAGCTATAAGTGTTTGTTCTGTGATGTGTCTAAGGCCTTTGATTGTGTTGATTACCAAATTTTAATAAGAAAACTAAAATATTAACAATTTTTTGATTTGGTCTTGTCTTGTAAATTCATAGAAAACAGGTACCAGAGGACAATTATAATGAAAGACAATAACATTTAAATCTGAATGGCAAAAATTAAACTGTGGGGTCCCGCAAGGATCGAGTTTAAGCCCACTCTGATTCTTGGTTGATATGAATGACATACCGGTACCAAAAAACTCATCATCAAACCTCTTACTATACGCTGATGACCACGGCTATAATCAAGGCTAAAAACAGTACCTAAAGCTATCAGTAAGTGCATAAAACGACAGGCCAACAAATTACTTGATTGAGTATGAAATAAAAATAACTTATAATATTTCTAAAAGTGTAAACTTATAACATGAATCTTACCTTTCAGTGAGGTATTCGTTGCTATCCAATTGTTGGAATTGAGCAAGGATATCTTCCACATCTTTGTCAGGTGGTGGAGTATCGGGAGGAGTTGTGGGCTGAGAAGGTCTATGAGGAGGTGTAGCGATATTCTCCGGTATGTCTGCTAGACGGAAAACGGAGTTTATCACCTCAGGTTCCTGTTGGCGTCGGTTGCTTGAGCCCATCTCCAACTCACTAGATCTCCTCCAGCGTGACTTCACCTTCACAGGTTTATCTGGCTCATACCCAGGGACTGGAGGAGTGGTAGTGCTCGTTACGACAGGCACTGAAGATACACCAGCAGGCTTTAAATGCTCATGTTTTGAAATACCGATTGAACGAATTCGGCCACTTCTCCTCCGACTCGAACTGGAGTTAGAACCACTTTCCGAACCTGTTGTGTCTGTGCTTCCACTTCGACTGCGGAACGAATTTTGTTTATCATCTTCTTCCCTTGACACAGGTTCTTCTTTGATTGAATCTTGCTTTGAATCTGATCTATCGTTAAGTGTTTGACTTACAAAAAACTCACTGGAAGAACTGGAGACATTTTCTTTTTTAGGAATTGTAGAATCTAAATTGTCCACAGGTGAATTTGCACAAGATACAATTTCAGAAGTCAGGCAATTGCTAGTAACTTTGTGTTCTTGAATGTTGCCAATAAACCTTTTGCTGTTGGCGCTAGATTCCACTTTTACGGATGACATTTCATTTTCTGAATCTAATCTTATAGAATTAGAATTTTGATTTGTACTTGATTTTGCTTTACCCCTTCCTCTTCTTGTTTCTCTAATTCTCTTAGACCTACTACTATCTGGTGGTTGGATGTCCTTACTTTTAGATTTTTTTTCCTTATCAACAGTAACAATTTGTTCATTTTTTACCTCGGAAATTGAAGGGGTGTTGATACTATTAAGGAACTTATCTTTTTCACTGTCGGATAAGGATTCTAATTTAGTCCTATTTACTATTGGGGATAAACTATTTGATAAACTTTCATCTTTGCATTCACTTGATAATTCTAATTGAACACCTTCATTACAATTAACATCATCTATTTCGATTTTGTGAGATGTTTCATCAACTTGCATTTTAGATTCAGCAATTGAATTGTCTTCATCAATTTCATACTTTTGAAAATTGCTAGATCTTTCATCAGGGCTTTTACTGGTATGCTCTTTATCGTGAACACAAGCCAATTCAACATCTGGCCGAGATATTTCTATAACTTTAATTTCTTGATCTTCAGCAAAGCCACTTCCATTATTCAAATGAATAACTTCTGATTCATGTTCTATGATTTGAATATCTTGATTTTCTAAATTTTCTTCATGGTTAGAGTTCTCGTCGTCAGACTGGTACTGTGAAAAGTTTACACAGTGTATTCCATCCACAGTACCTATAACTGCGTTGATATTATGTTCACCACAACTCTCCTCGGCTCCGTCTACAGACTCCTGACTACTGTCGTAATCACTTTCTCTCACAACAGTAATTATTTCACAAGATCCTTCTTGTAAATCGGCTAAATTGTGGATGCTTACGATTTCCTGGCTTGTTTCGTCGGTCACCTCAAACCCTTCATCATCGGTATTATTGATCACAATTACATACTGATTTTCTTCACCGTCATCGTCATCATTCATCAAAACCAATTCTTCTTCTTCATCTTCTTCTGTGTGAATTTCATATTCTTCTAACCTAGTAGTTTCCACTTCTGCTTCCATTTCGCAAACAAATTCACCTGTATCCTCGGAAAGGTCACCAGCTTCTTCTCTACTTACAATAATTTCATCCCCACGTCCCACATTTTGAAGATCTCCTAAAATCATTTGTTGAATATCTAACGGCATTAAATTATTTTTGCTCTGATCTTTATTGGTGCTGTTTTCATTATTTTTATCAGATAAGATTTGATTATGACTTTCTTGTTTAAGCTTAGAAGAACAAGGAGATACATTGCTATTAATTGCATTTTTCTCCCCGTCTTCTATATTATTAACTTCAACTGGGGAATTCCTGGATTCCGTTTTCGGTTTTGCATTTCCCGTACTTTTCCGCCTCCGTGCCATTGCTCCTTGTTTAGTGGTTTTGTTTTTCTGTCAATCTGATACCTAGAACAAAATATGTTAGTTAGGCTAGGCCTACAACACGCTACATAGATACAATTATGTGTAATATTATACCAATGACTACCGGTATTGGATACTGAAGTAGACATCCCATCTATGAAACAGCTCAGAAATTTTTTTTTATTAAAAAAGAATGCGTTGGGGGGCCAGCACTGCATGCCTTTAAATCTTACCTCCTATACCGAAAACAGATAATGGCAGTAAAAGGGGCAAATTCGCAACCATTGCCAGTTAAACAAGGCGTTCCCCAGGGATCTGTGTTGGGCCCTGCGCTATTCTTGTGTAATGGTGAGCAACCTCGGGCAGTTAGGAAACGTCTTGCTTTTTGCAGACGATACGACTATCTTTGCGGATGCAAACACAAGTTCCAGAGGAAACCAGGGTCAAGGCTGAACAATCCTTCGAGAAAACTAAGACGTGGTCCAAAGCAAATAAGCTTTGCCTAAATTAAAGCAAAACACAACACAACCTGCAGTCTGGCACCGAATTCAATTCTCAATAACCTGCCTGAAGTAAAGTTTTAGGCCTCATAATCGACCCCAAACTCACCTGGGAAAATCATACAATGAAAATGAGCGAGGGCATTGCATCTCCTCAGTCCTCAGGAGGCTCAAACCTATGCTGACAGTGCAGTTTTTACTTACTGTTTATTTTGATTTGTTCCGCAGCCCCCCCCCCCCCATCTTAGCTATGGGTTGGAGGTTTGGGACCATAGCAGGCTGTAGGGTATACTTTTTTTAGGAATAAGCTATTTTGGCAATTCAGATATACAATCGTCTGACCCTGTATTTTAAATACTTGAGGCTTCAGATTTAGAAAACAAACTGAGAGATTGGCTACTGGCAAGGCCCTTGCACTCCCTAGGCAATTGTTATAAAATTTGTGTCCAACCTGCCGCCAAAACTTGTAAATATGTAGTTCTATATAAATCTATAGCCTAGTTATTTTATTTTTTTTTTTTGGCTCAGTCTATCCAGCAAGAGCTGGTTAATGACGTCTAGGGAGTGAGTAAGTAAGTAGGCCTAAGTTGATCCTAAAAGCGATGAGCATCAATAGATTAATCATCAATGTTTACGATAGATGGTAACATCGGTATCAATCATCAATATAGGCCTACATTACTAATACAGTAGAACCTCGCTAATTCGAAGTTCAGAGTAAAGACAATGTATTTCCAACCGTGGGAAGTTTGGAATTATAGAGGTCAGAATTAATAAAGTTTGAACTATAGAGGTCCAAGTTTATTTTTTAAAAGCTAAGCAGAATTCTGTCCGGTAATTCAAACCCATATCTCTTGGACAAAATACTGTAAATTACCGTACAGGACATATTGAATTGATACAAAGTGACATAAAATAAAATAACATTGAAGCAAAACAAATTAATTATAAAATGTAACTAGCCTAATACTATGGTTAAATACAGCATGTGGGATTTAAACCACATCTAAAAACATTGACAACTTGCAATCAATAGAAATAACTTATGCAGTTGTCCATGCTCACCCGATAATCCCAGTGTTTCCATACGCGGGATTTTTATCCCGAAAACGGGATTTTAAGACTATGAGTGGTTAGAAACGGGATGCAGGATTAAACGGAATTTTCAGCTCTGGTATCTGTTTGTTTTTTTTTTTTTTACAGTAGAACCTCTCAATCCGAACTAATTGGGACCGGGGTTAGTTCGGGCTATTGAATAGTTCAGGGGCCCTATTTTTGAAATGGTTGACAGTTGAGTCAATCGTCAACACTCAACTCAACCAACAACAGGATTTGGTATTTTTGAAATCCAACAGTTTGGAAGTGAGTTGGGAATCACTAGTTTTTTGAGTGCCTCGTTTGGGAAATGTAGGCGTACGACCGCACGGAATTCAGATGACGCCATTTTGAACCAATCACAATGCAGAGTTCCTGCGATCTTCGATCTAACCTCTTACTCTAAAATCAGGATAATGAGCTAATCTCAATCTACCATATTTCGAGACACTGAGGTGAACTGTCAACTCCGTTCGTGAGAGATTGAGGTTATGTCTTGCTTATTCTTGGTGATTGCAAAAGTACTATGGATAAAATTTACTATGGATATGGATGCTTGTTTTAGGCTGTAGCTCATTATAGGTATACCCGAAATAAATTGTTTGCCTTTTTTGTCTCTATTTCAGAACACATATTATTATTTTAATTCCCTTCATCGTTTTTGTTTCATGTTATTTTTAATTGTGTTTGTAGGCCTATTTAGGTTAAAGCTTAAATGGATATTTGCCATTGCACTAAACGCATACCGTAACTTAAATTGATTTGATCCCTTAGGCAAATTATGGTATTGAAACAATCTAGGCCTAACTATGATATTGTTTCTTTTCACCACAAATCTTTAAATCATTTAATAAAAATTGTCTTATAATAAGTTCAATTAGTAAGCCTAGTCCTAGTCTATTTCAAAGTATTGCATACATCCCAACAAGGATACAACCCGTTATTTAGTAGTAATTAAGTATTGGGTGCTCTACTATGTCAATGTCAACAAATACCTAACCTCTAATTGCAATTAGTAAGTAGTAAACAAAACAATTACAAAATAGCGTCAACTCAAAAAGAGAAATTTTTGCCGAATGAGGAAGAAGAAACAACAGTCAACCGTCCACTCAACAACTTGATACGTGGTGAGTAGTTTTGGTTAGATAAGTCAACTGTCAACCGTTTGAAAAATACGAATCGATTGGAAATTGAGTGACTCAACACTCAACTCAACAGCCAACCATTTCAAAAATAGGGCCCCAGATTACAGAACATATTTTGTTTTTACATAATGCTAGAACGTATCTAAGATGGATAGTAATTGTTACGGGAAAGGAACAATTACCGTGCGTATATCAATAAAAACAGTAATATAAAGAACAACTGATACCTACACTCTGAACTGAGCTTACAGCGTTTGGATAAGTGGACGTTGGTATTAACAAGGTTCAGATTAAAGAGGTTGGTAATTATTAGGCCTAACCGTATTTACATTGGGATATGATGTAATTTTTATATGTCTACTTACAGTATTTTTAACGCTGAATCCAAAAATGCAATTAGTTTTGGTCGGAGAGATTCCTAAGTGGCCGTATAGTTAAATCATTAATATTAAGCTTCAGTTTTGTAGATTTATTAACATATTTGTGGTATGGACGAGTCCAAGTTCTAGTGGCGACTAACACTAAAAGGGGTGGAAGGTTTGTGGAGTGGAAACAGCTGTCAGTTCTTTACATTCAATACTAAACAGACAAAACCACACACGACGCCATGAGAGCAAAATCAGAGTTACAATATGCAATAACTAGATTTTTCAAAGAAAATGGACTTTGGTGCTGTTTAGAAAATACAATAAATCAACTACGATACATAAACTATTTATCACATGAACATAAAATATAAAACAAAATAGAATTTATTCACGTAAAATATCAGTAATAGAAGCTAGGCCACTGCCGACATGATCATCGTCCTTATTCCAATCTTCAACCATTGGCTAATGCCTCAACGTCTGTTAATGAACGTGCCATAGTGCATAATCCCATAGTACCTACATAATCCCATTGTGTCTAAAAGTGAAAACGTGCCACAGTGCATAATTTAATGTATCAGCAACTAATAAATGATGTTACATAATATAATCTAATCTAATCTAACTTAACCCAACCCAACCTTAATATTAATGTTTAAATCGCAGTTTATGTCAGAAAAGGCATGTGAGGAAGATAGGTCGGACTTTATGCGGATTTATGACTGTATTAAGTCCTTTGAAGTGAGGTTAGATTAGGTAAGTTAAAGGTTGGGTTATAATGAACCGACTCATTAATTTATGCACCTTCCAGACTGTTTTTGCACAATTGGAATAGTGGGTGAAACACAATGAAATAACGATATCAAAAATGCTTGCGCTATTTAATTGTGCAAAAACAGTCTGGAAGTTGCATAAATTAATGAGTCGGTTCATTATAACCTAACCTTTACCTTTCTAATTTAACCTCACTTCAAAACACTTAATACAGTCTTGAATCCGCATAAACCCCGACCTACCTTCCTCACATGCCTAAATAAGAACTGATTACTTCGTTTCAAAAATCAAAACGAATTGATTTGATTTCATTCCGCATTAGGGTGCGTTCACAAAGAAAGCTGGTTACAAGCGCTTGTTGGCAAGCGCTTACAAGCTCGAACCGGCGTGAGAAAAGTTAACATAGTATCAAGCGTGTGTGTTCACAGACAAAGCTTGTGCCGGCAAGCAAGCGCTTGTTACAAGCTCTGACAAGCACGCAAGAACGTTTCGTACTTGTTTTCCGGCGCTTATTGAGCGAACCAGTCAGTTACAAACTACAGTGCAGTGTGGATGTCGATGAGTTGATAGCTCAAGTAGTTAGAGCTTTCAATTTCCAAAAAAATATATTACCCACATATTGTGGTTTTTCCCTAGAATGTTCAATAACGTAACCAATAGGACAAATATAACATATATGTATTAAGATGATAGACAAACACATTTCATTCAATATTAATTAAGCGTTGTGTTGGATTTTTTATAGATGAAACTTGTATACTTTTACTTTATTTAGCCTACCTAGAAAATCAAAACATTTGAACATTTCTCACAATATTATTTGCATCATAATTAATCAGCTACATAGGGTGTTTAAAACTTCCTTCAAGTATTTTTTAGGTTTTATTATTGGTCCAAAATTCGTTCTGGTGCATGGATAGGTTGCTTATGCCAATCCCCCCAAAACTTCACTAAAACACTTTCAATTTTCTTGAGGATGTAATTAAACGTGATTATCTTCCGCGGTTAATTGCATGAACACCTTCCTAATTCTACACCCTTTTAATTCTACATTTTCAATAAAAAATAACTCTTCATCACTTGAGGAAGATATTGTCTCAACCAGAGCTGAGCTGAGACTACACTGAGCTTGAAATGCAAGCGTTTGTTGTGAACACACAACAGCATGGAACAAGCGCTGAAAGTAAGTTAAGTTACTTGTAACCAGCTTTCTTTGTGAACGCACCCTTAAAGACCAAGTATAAACAGTTGTTTGCTCTTCTCACTCAGTCCTCCTCACTCCTCACTCAGTACGGTCCAGTCCAGACCACGCCATATTACCATTACCTTCAATACGGCTCCTCAATTATCCTTAGATTCGTAATCCTAACCTTCGTTTTACGGCCACTACGGCAACTTAGGAATCTCTCCGACAAAAACTGATTGCATTTTTGGATTCAACGTTAAAAATACTGTAAGTAGACATATAAAAATAACATCGTATCCCAATGTAAATACAGTAAATATTTGCCAAGAGATTCTACTGTACTTAATTTAAGAGAAAAACTAACCCCAATCGATTAAATTGCTGTTGCAAATAATAAGATAAGCAATATTTAGAAAACCAGGCCTATAAAAACATGATGTTTACATGAAATAAACAACCGAGATTGAACTTAAAAATCTTACGGGATAGGTGAAACGGGATTTTTCATATTTCAAAAGTGGGATGAAACTGGATTTTCTTGACCCGGTAAGTTGGATTTTTTTTTCATGTGGAATCACTAAGTTATTCAGGGCAGGGCTTGCCACCTTAGGTCAGGGAAAAATCGGGACATTGGCCCCCTCGCTCCTGGGTTAACATAGGCTTAAATACGGGCGTAAAGAACCAAAATCAGGACTGTCCCATCAGAACTGGGACGTGTGCAACCCTGATTCAGAGTAGGCCTATCTTGACCTAAATCAACTTAAACACACCTAACTTAATTGAGGCTGCCTACCACATAAGCTGTAAGGCATATTTACACCTGTTAACGTAGACCTACAAGAGCTAATAAATAAGCTAAAATACCTAATAACTAGCCTAAGTAGAGATTGAAATTTAGTCTTATTCACCACCTTGAACTTGCTGGAAAACCATTAATTTCCTTATTGCATGAAAAACTTTCTTCCACACATCCAGGTTACAGGGAAAGGGTAGCTTTTATGGGGACTAACTATTGTACAATAACAATATTTGTGGAAAGGAGACAAATATTTTCAACAATGGAATGCTTATTACTAAGAATAGAATGAAAACCCTTTTTGTGCTAGTAAAGAAAACATTTTCAACAACCTCAAAGAATGCATTGACAAAACATTATTATTAGGCTAACTTCATTAATTTAGGTGAAATAAATATTGTATTCGCTTACCTTGTAATTCATTACAACTAAAATAACGATTAAATTATAAAGTTTGGTTCATTCTCTCTTCATTTTTAGGTAGAATCAAGTGCAGTGTAATTCTGGTAGAAGCAGCCATGTTTTCATTAATCGTTTGATTTGAAGTAAAGAATTGGATTGGATTGGAGACGAAGATTGAAGGGATTGGATTGGAGGAAGATGAAGATGAAGAGAGGGTCAAAGCTGGTCAAAGGCTCAAACAAATAGTGCTGAAAAATGGCATACAATTATACAAGACTCGGGACCGATTTACTTTTTAATTTTGATGTCCCAAACACCATTTGTATACAGTACTAGCTGGCCCGACAGACGTCGTCCTGTCCTAATGTGGTTTTATGTCAATATTGTCAATGCTCGTTTATTTTCAAGATGAGCTCGTTTGCATGGCTCAATTACGTCCTGGTTGAAGTTCGTTCGCTACGCTCACTCACCTTTGGGTTGGAGCTCGTTCGCTGCGCTCACTTGCCTTCAGTTAGCTCGTTCCCTACGCTAACTCGCCTCCAGGTTGAAGTTCGTTCGCTAAAAGCCCCCACACACTACCAGACCAGACCGTCTGGTCTGGCGTCTGGCACTTGTCTTATCGTGAGTGGGGCTGTCTGCAGACCAATTTTCTCGGACCAGACTGTCTGCGTGTCTGATCTGATGGTTGAACCCTCAGACCACAGACGGTCTGAGGTTCCCCCCAGGGCTAGAGATATACATACATGTATATACATACATATATATACATGTATATCTCTAGCCCTGGGTTCCCCCACCACTATTTTTGTCTGGTCTGTGAGTGTGTGGCGCTGTCTGTCAGACGGCAGACCGTCATGACAGTCATTATCCATTAGTTGGAGTTCTCACCACAGTGTTTCAATTTCGAAAGTTGGAATGTCTGGTCTGGGAGTGTGTAGAGCCACGGCCGCCTTTAACTACAGGCCGCGGCCTGTAGTTAAAGGCGGCCGTGGTAGAGCCGTCCAAAACGGTCTGGTTGCAGCCAGACGGTCTGGTTGGTGGTCTGGTCTGGTAGTGTGTGGGTTGTGGGGGGCTTATGCTCACTCACCTTTGGGAGGCCTTCTTTTAGGCAACCTTTCATCTAGGTACCATTTCACTTAAATCACATATCAAGTTGGTACCGACAACTCAAATCGGTCAGCTAGGTCCCGGCCCCTCCCTTCTGGGGGAAGGGCGTGGCTTCGCCGTGGTCACGTGTTTCGCGATGCGGTCGCTTACCCTCTACACTTCTGAAAATTCCCGCGACTTCTTTGAATTACCTACTCCACCCAAATTTCAGCCTTCCTTCGTCTCGTTTCTTGTTCTGTTCCGCGTTTCTTCTTCTTCTTCTCTTCTAGATCTGCTGCTGCTCTAGCTCTAGTCTAAGTTTGAGGTTGGATTGGATTTTGGAGAATTTATTGTTTGTCAATTTCAATAATTGTCAAATTGTCATACAAATTTGTATTTTAGGTGTGTATTTTCAATTTAGGCCTAAGTTACAACAACTACTACAGTTTAAAGAACCATTTTTGTCATCACAAAATTGAAAGGTGTAACTTATTGACATGGACATGGTCATTAGAATGTTAACGTTTCAAGCAAATTCAAATTAGTTTCTGGTAGGCCTAGCCTATAAAATAAATTGGGGGTACAGTTTCCTGGGCTTCGCTAATATCGATTGAAACTATCAAATTGAAAATATTGATTAATAAGCGATATTTAAAATATATCTATTTTAAAATTAAACTGCACTTTATGCCTTACGTCCTACACTATAATTCGAATAAACATATTGATCGATAAATCGATTATTTCATTCAATATATCAAGTTTGGTTAGTAAAGTTAACCTAACCTAACTTAGCTAACCGAATGAATCAATACATCAAAAGGCCTAGTCTATCCATTAGTTGCATACTGCGCTTTTAGTTGGATTTTTATACTCATAGAAAATTATGACTATTAGTTTTAATATAACTTCCGGTACTAGACTATTGATCGATTTCGAGCAACAAGTGCTCTAGTTTTTTTTATATTTTTATTTTTTATAAGATGCTGACAAAGTATAAAGTTTTTTGTATGACAGTTTTAGTTTACCATTTGAGTTTTTAGCATAGCCTATACGTATTTGATACTCTCAGCAGCTGGAGTAGTGTGATTTTTTCTTTGATTATTGTGGCTTTACGTGACAGGTGGAGGTGGATGGCTATAGCTTACAAGGTTACATGGTACACATTAAATTCATAATGATTTGCCTATTTCGGTATACTGGCTTTTTCGTAGGCCTACGCTTCATTTCTCTTTACATTTTCAAGAGATCTATTGTTCAAGGCGTCAATGGGCAACTAACCTAAGTTTATCACCATTCTACCGCATTATAACCCACCCTACAGGGCCCGGATTTTGTAGGTAGCAAATGCGCAACTAACCTACCGCCAGGGCAACGGCCATCAAAACATTTTTATGTGTGATAATAAACCTTGTAGGTTAGTCTAAACTTAGTTGATACTACTAACAAAATAACTTAGCCATCTTAAAGACATCAAGTAATTAAGTAGGCCCATTTTATTGGTCGTTGAATAATCACTGATTACTATAGACTTCGTCTGAGACACATTAACTCACGGTATATAGGCTACTTGATCAATAGTGATATAGGCCTATTATCACAGTCGCATTTTTTATGCATAGCCTATCAAATATATAGGCTCTATCACAGACGTTAAAATAAATAATAAGTATAGTTGTGCAGTTAAATAGATCAGGGGTAATAGTACATGTTGTAATATGTAGTTCTACTTCATCAAATCCATTTCAATGCATCAAGCAAAAGAGCTGTTACCCCATGAATAGCCTAGGCTAGTCTAATAATATTTTAAGACATTTTTATTTTATGATATTAAAAACATTAGGCTACACTAAGCTAATGAAAACTTCCCATAAACTTAGCCTACTCGGCTTTTAATTTTTGCTTCGATTTTGACTGCCCTACCCGTCAATGAGGTTAAGGGTATAAGTTAGGCCTAACCTATACAAAATCCTGCCTTAATCTGAATGGGAAAACATTATTATTTGCAGATGATACAACGATGCTGTCCAGAACCTTTAGGATTATTACAGTTGTGTGGCATTTGGATCATTGCTGGCCAATCTTAAAGGATCTTAAGCTACGTTTCCATTCCTGCAAATTTGTGCCGGCACAAATCTCCAAATTTGTAGGAATGGAAACATCCTGGCTCAAGTCGCAACACAAATTTGTGCCCGCCGACTGCGCGACAAAACATGTGCCCGAGCCGTGTCTCATCCAACGTGTCTGCTCCAATCTCTCATCAATTGATTAAATGCACCTTCCAATGCTCTTTTAGCCAAAAAACTTCTTATCCACTATCTAGGTAGTTCTTCTAAGTTCATTGTATGCACCAGCCATAAATAAAAAAGCAGAGGCTGTTATGTCATCCATGGTGATTTGTAGAACACAATATAATCAAAATCAGCCACCGAACCTCACCACATCACAATAAAAGAGAACACTGCCTTGTCTGCCAGTTGTAGTCGCGGGACTTGTGCCTGGAATGGAAACGGCATAACAAACTACGTGCGACATGTGCCTCGTCATAGTCTCGACATGTGCCTCGACTTGTGCCTGCGACTTGTAGGAATGGAAATGTAGCTTAAGGGTACTCACGGCGTAGTGCTTGATATCCTGGCCCTAGAAAAGATGACGTGCAGTCAGTGGTGGATCTAGAACAGTCACAAGGGGGGGGGGGACCAGGGTGTCTGAGAGGTTCGGGCGTACCCCCTCCCTCCCCAAAAATTTGTTTAAACTAAGTCTTCAAAAATGGCAGTTTTATACCATTTCTTTGTCCTAAGTTAGTGTGACAAATTATTTTACACAATTTGTATGCACTACTGTATTACATGCAGTCAAAAATATATGACATGTATTTCCAAACTGCGACTGCCCCCCCCCCCCCTCTGGATCCGCCACTGGGGTGCAGGAGTACTATACCAGAAGAGCACAAAATATAGACTTTTCCTGCTGTTGTCTCAAACGGACCTAGAATAGCTATCCTCGTTCTACTATTAACTACAACTCATAACTGCCTACTCATTTGCAGGAGATGGATGCACCCTCCTTCAGAAGGCGCTGAAAGGAATAGGCTACTAATTACAGGCCGCTGTAGGCCTACTCCGTAAAAGAACTTAAGGAAGAGCACCTAGTGAGATAAGTGTATGTCTGCCATATCATCCGTTAAACAGCCAGGTTTTTGAAGGTATAGTTTATTGTAAATATTATATATAGAGTTATTTATTAAATCACTTAATAATTTACTAGCTTCTGTGCCCGTGCTTCGCAACGGGAAGATGAACTATACCGCCTAATCCAAACAGTTGTTAAGTAGTCCGAATTAATGAACAAAAGCCACCAAATGTTGGCCTACTGTATAAAAACAATTATGACCAACATTGTAATTGCCCTACTGTTTACGTTAAATAAATCAATAACATAATATTCATTTTCAACCAACTATGAAACATTGAACCCAGGGCCGGATTTAGAGTTTTTACGCCCCTAGGCCCAAATAATTTTTCGCCCCCTAGTCTGGTCTCAGTTACTTTCCTTTAAACCTTTATTAAAAACTATATCATGCCTATAGGCCTAAATTAATTGCTTGAATACCACTCCTCGTTAGAATCATTGAATTTTTTTTAGAATCAACTTGTTTAGCCTTAACTAAATGCAGTCTTAAACACTTATTAGCAATTGTATGCTTTTAATAAATAATGCTCACGTTTGTGGCCGTGGGACTGAAACAACTCAACCCACTGAGCATTAATGAAAACAAAAAAAACATGGCAATTGATTCCAATTCCAAGCCCAAAAACATGAACTCCATACAGTACTGATACCATAGATTAAACCTACTCCTTCAGTAGATTTGTCATCATTTTGGATTAGCTGAATACAATTCTTGTTATTTATGGAGCATGTTTTATCCATGTTTAAACCTAGTTTATCCAAAATAAAACGATCTAATCATCAACAATAGGTCGTCTCCTATTTATATTATAAGAAATTAAAACACAAATCATAGAACTAA